TTGATGATGACACTCCACCACTGATACTAGTCCCTAAAGCAAAGGAACAAAGAATGAAAGATGATGAGAAGATGAAGGTAAGTTGAATACAAGCACATGTACAATACAATGTACATTTGATATCATTGTCTGCTACATTGTGTGTGTGTATGTCTATAATAGTTTATTGTGCATGTAAATTATAATTATGAATAATAATATCATATGTCATCTATGTCAAACACATGTACATGTACATTTATTTACATGTATATTCTTCACAGGTATTAAAGTGGAATTTCCAAATGCCTCGTCCTGAGCACATTGACCAGTTGAAGGATCAGATGTTAACTTGTGTGTCTCTACCAATACACAAGAAGCTCTTCCATGAAGATTTCAAACAGCAGCTCCAGGCAGTGTCTAGTCTCACAGCTGCTGTCACATCTGACGTTGATACGGCCATTAGCTGCTCTGATTTATTGCTAAGATGGATCACCCTGCGGTTCTTTGACACCAATACGACAGTCAACGTAAAGTGTCTTGAGTTTGTTCAACATCTTTTTGTGTCCATGTCCAGCGTCTCTTATAAACTGAGTGACTATGAGGCAGCTGGTTTCCTACCTTACCTCATTAATAAAGTAATTTAATGTGTGGGTGGATTGCCGTGTGACTACCATATAGCAGGAAATTTTGGAGGGAGTTAAATTTGGCAAATTGCTACATTTATAAATTTTGGTGATTGGCGGATTTTAATTTGGCGAATTTGTAGCCACGTGCTATTGAGTATGCATATAATGGCTCAAAATGGTGGATTTTATTTTGGCAAATGGCTATCAAAATGCCAAATTTGCCAAATTTACATTATAATTCCCTCCATAATTACCCCCTATACGGCATGCATGTAATCTGGGCTGATTTTTATTTATTTATTTATTTATTGTTAAGGTTGGGGATCCAAAGGATGCTGTGAGAAAAGCAGTGCGGGCATTATTTAGAACCATATGGAGCATCTACCCACCTGGTAAAATGTTTAATTTTGTAACTGATGGACTTAAATCAAAGAATGCAAGACAGAGAATTGGTAAGAGAAAGGCATCCACCCATAATAACAATAATTTTAATATTAAATAATATTAGTAAAAAATTACATACAGTAGCCTTTTACATATGTGCAATGTACTGAGGGGGCCTTTTTCCAGTTCTGTAAATTTCGCAGATTTTTCAATTTTTTAAAGATTTGCAAAAATTACTTTGGCGAAAATCAAATTATTACCACTGGTACAAGATGGCAGATGGCATAAATTTGCGAAAATTAAATCCACAAAATAGAATTTAGGCAAATTCACGAAATTTACATCCCTTGAAAATTTTGCGCTGTACGGTATGTACATGTACAATTGTACATGTACATGTATACTCTTGTCTTGATGTACATGTACATCTCACTTTGTTTTAATTTAAATATACATGTAGTGTACCCCTCCCTCTCTCCTCCTCTAGAGTGTCTTGAAGTGATAGGTGAAATGATAAAGAACAATGGCATGACTGTGTGCCAGCCGTCACCAGCTAAGAGTCTCCCTGTTGTTGCTGGACAGATCTGTGATAGAGACAACGGAGTTAGATCAGCTGCCATTAATACAATGGTTGTAGTCTATAGCTACGTTGGAGAAGGAGTCTATAAGTTTGCTAGTCAAGTAAGCATGTACTGTTGTATATCATGCTTGTATATAATAGTACAGGGCCATATTTTGTCAGAAATGGTTAGGAGAGAATTCTTCATTTTTATCATTTTTTGATACATATACATGTATATGTACATGCATGCATGTGCATGTACTTATTTTGCCTAGAAAGTTTAAGCTAATTCCAATCAAAATTGGATTTTTAAAAGAATTTTTAGTTGCTCAAAAATCAGGCCAAAGTCCCTGTACTATAGTACATGGTCGCGGGCTACGTTTTGCCAAAATTGAAAAGGAGAGAATTCTGCTTTTTTATAATTTTATCTGGTGCATATACATATACTCATGTTGTGTAGAAAGTTTGAGCTGATTCGGATCAAAATTGGATTTTTTATGAATTTTTCAAGTTGCTCAACAATTTGGTCAAAGTCTTTGTATCAGCAAAAGTTTTAGTCTCTTACATGTACCTGTACTACATGTAAATAGTAGTACATGTTTAAATTATTTTTATTTTCTAGTTGTCAGAGAAGGAGATTAGCTTATTAGAGGAGAGGATCAAGAGGTCTGGTAAGACAGTGCAGCCTTTCAAACCGGCAAAGTCTCCTTCACCCTCTCCTGTCTCTACCCCTGAGCCCCACCCACAAGCAATCACTGAGCAACCGTAAGATACACATAAAATTAATTGATAATTACACGATGTCAGATTAAAATTACCATATATGCCATACATTTTGCGGGAATTAAATTTTGCGATTTTTGCGTTTAAAAAATTAACAAAATTAAAATCCACAAAATAGCATGCTGATTGTATAGTAGGTGTGGTAATTACAGTAAAATTGCGGAATTTTTATTTATGAATGCAAAAATGCAGCCAAATCGCAAAATTTTATACCTGCGAAATACATGGTGTATATGGTAATTTTAAGATAAAATGTCTTTTTAATTTTATTATTATTTTTGACAGAGTTAAATCGAAGTCCCCATCCCCAGTGCCTCCTGAACCTGCTCCGGTTGCTAAAGTGACTGTTAGCCCTCGCTCGGGTATTCCAAAGTTCTCTGGTCCTTTCTCTGTTGACGTTGGCAAATATAAAGCACCTGCCAGTAAGCTAGCGAGACCAAAAGTGCCACGCCCTGATTTGAGTGTCTTTGGAAAGGAAGAGAAAATGGCTGAATATGCAACTTCAAAGTTAGTACTGTGACTTTATTATCATTATTAGTAGTAGTAGCAGTAGTAGTAGTAGTAGATGTGCAATCTTCTTCAAATTATGATTTATTCAGTGACTGCATGCTTCTAACTATAAGCAAGATAACTTTAATTGCTGCAGAGATTCTTAAGTGATGACTGATGGAGTGATTGAGAAAGTTTTGACTGAAGCAAGATCTACTGTATTTAGACTTGTGCAATTGCTTTGCTTTCTCATACATGTACATGTATATCATACAGCACATAATCTATAGCTTGCTTAGGCTCACCCCTTCAATGTTTTACATTTGCATTTGTCTAGTTGTTGTTGTTATTGTTGTTGTTGTTGTTGTTACCAGGTTGATACGTCACCCTCCCAAGGCCCTATCAATATCACCTGCCAGGCAGACTCTAGCCTCAACCTCGAGTGTAGTCTCTTACATTATTGCTCAGATCACTGGACCTGATGTTGACACTGTGTCAGACGCCGTGCTAAGAATTGAGAAGATAACCAGCGATCAACCGTCGCTCCTCTTGACGCATGTTGATCAACTCATCAGAGCCATTTTAATGCAAAAGAGATTCAATTTCACAACACGAATGAGTGGAGCTGCTAATGGAGGTTGGGAGAGAGAGGGAGGGAGAGAGAGGGAGGGAGAGGGAGGGAGGGAGGGAGAGGGAGGGAGGGAGAGAGAGGAGGGAGAGGGAGAGAGAGAAGAGCAATGGAGGTTTACTTTTATTTCAGTGTTTGATGATTTCCAATTGAAATTGACAATATTAAAACCACCAATCATTAATACTCATACTCATACAGTATTAATCCACAGAGTTTGAAAATTAGAAGCAGCCATATGCATGTACAATGTAGCTTCTACATGTAATTTAATAATTTCAATGTACCTGTACATGTATAATACATTTACATGTACATGTTGTACATTATTGTATTTCTCCAGGTGACTACAGTAAGATACTAGAGATCAGTAGGTTACTGACTAGTGTCCTGGTACAGACATTCAGTGACAAGACGTTAGCACAATCAGTCCACCAGGACACATTGGTTGAATTGGAGAGGGACATCTTTGGATACCTGATAGACGAGAAGCTCCTGTGTATTGAGAATATAGAGCAACTCAATCGAGCATACAACCTACTAATGGGACACATTGTGGAGCATACGAACAGGAATGCCATATTTGGGTATGTACATGTACATGTACGTTTACATGTAGAGTGTGTATAAATGAAAAGCAAGTATTTGTAAATATTATAGCTGAATTAAAAGAGCCAAGTTCTCAATTTAAATTGACATAAGAACATCATAAATTTTGTATCTGATTATGTTGTATTATATTTTTTTAGTTCTTTATTGCAAGTTATGTTAGAAAGTCTTACTCCTGAAGGAAGTGGGACAAAACTGTCTGAAATGTCTATGAAAGTAAGAGCATTATTATTATTTATTTATTTATTTATATTTATTTATTTATTAGTGTTTATGGCGTTTGACAAGACAGTTGAATGCCATGATGTCTGATGTTGATATAGATGTATTGCTGAGAGATATTGACGTCTTTTTAAACGGATACTCTTCACTGAACCCCTCCCCTTCTGCTGATGATAAACCTTATCGTACTGTAAAAACCATCCTTTATCACTTAGCTAAGAATCTCAAGTCAGAGGTTAGCCACACCCACCAGACTCCCTCACAACATTGCTTGCTTAAAGTTGGGATTTTGTGAAATAATCAGTAGTATATAATCCTTCAAAAGATATAGTCAGAAATAGCTTAAACTTTCTACATACGTAGCATAAGGACATCAATTGGCCAATTTTTTTAAATGACAATAACTCAAAAATTTGAAGTCGGAATCAGCTCAAACTTTTTACACAGCATAAGGACATCAATATGTATCAGAAAATGTAATAAAAAGTGAGGGTAATTTCGGAGCCATTTTTTAGAAAAAAACATGGGCTATAGTACAGGGATTTTTTCAAAAATTGGTCTATTTTTTAGAATGGTCATAACTTGAAAAGATTAAGTCGGAATCAGCTCAAACTTTCTACATAGCATAAGTACATCAATATGTATCAGAAAATGTAATTAAAAATGGGGGTAATTTTGGAGCCATTTTTTAGAAGAAACCATGGGCTATAGTACAGGGATTTTTTCAAAAATTTGTATCAGAAATTGTAATAAAATTTTTGGTTGATTTTGGAGCCATTTAAAAAAAAAGGCTATAGCTTGGGTATTTTTAAGGATTTTAGCAATTTTTAAAATGGCCATAACTCAAAAAATTGAAGTCAGAATCAGCTCAAACTTTCTACACAGCATAATGACATCAGAAAATGTAACAAAAATTTGGGGTGAATTTGAGCCATTTTAAAAATAGCACTGGGTATTTTTTAAGTTGTCATGCTCAAACTTTATCGTGTTCTGGCTTTTATAAAAATAATTATAATGTATTATATACATGTAGGTGTTAAATCATCTCTCGTTAATTAAAGACCGGACCTCCTCTCCTGTCGTTATTTATTTAAATAAAACTGTACGTAAAAGCAACCACAAGTCTTCGCCCGAGCAGTTAATTAAAATAAATAATGATGAACAAGCCAAAGATCCACCCACTATACCCCCTAAAGTAGAAACCAAGGTAAGAACATTGTTTTAACCCTAAAGTCTGATTGGTCCATTCATAGATTGTGGAGAATACTTTGACAAGGAATGAGTTATCTGCTGAGCTGGCATCTTGTCTAACATGTATATTTGAGACAATAAAGGATCCACACAGCACCAGAGAAGTATAATATTATTAATATTATTGTGTCCACCCTTTCTTAATATTAGTAGTAGTAGTAGTAGTAGTAGTAGTAGTACTATTATTATTATTATTTTATTATTATTTATAATGTGATTAATGTCCACCCTTTCTTCTTATTATTATTAGTACTAGTAGTAGTAGCAATAGTAGTAGTAGTACTATTATTATTATTATTGTATTACCGTATAGCTAGAAATTTCTGTGGCCCAAAATTTCTGCGAATTGCCAAAAAATGGCTTTTGCGGATTTTATTTTTGCGAATTCACTTGATCACACTACTGATCAATGGCTGCTCTTCACTACTTACCAGAACTATAGTTGATGATGACATAAAGCATGATCAGGATATTAGGCAAGATAGGATTACTCTTTAACTCTGCTTAAAATTGTACTGGAACAGTGCCAAGAACACGCCGTGTGCTTCACTATAATTACACTAAAAAGGCGTGGCGAGCCACACCTTTTAATTTACTTATTTTTGAGGATTTAATTTTTTGCGAATTTTTTCAAATTCGCCAAATTCGCAAAAATTTTGGGCCACAGAAATTTCTAGCTATACGGTATTGTTATTATTATTATTATTATTATTATTTGTTATTAGGGTATGGAAGAATTATATGACTTTATTCAGACTCATCCTGATATTGATTTTGAGTCAATGTGGGCCTCTACCTCTCCTTTCTATCAGTCCTACATCAAGAGAGGACTAAGAAACGTTGAGCTCTGGAGGCAGACTGGAGACAAGACACAGCCCATTGAATCAGGTGAAACAGAATGAATATACCGTCTACTGGTTTATTTTGTGGTAAATTTTTTTGCATTTTTTTGCTTCGTTGCAAAGATTAAAATTGCAAAATTCTGCATCTCCATTGCCATGTGGTGCAGTTTGAAAGCTATTTGCAAAAACTTATTCTGCAAAATCTTAGAAATGTCGGATTTGTGAAAATGTTTCACTGCAAAAAATAAACCAGTATATGGTACTGTTTAAATACAGAGGGAAAATTTTTAGTGATTGGTGGGATTTATTTGGCAAATTTGTGGCCATATGCAATTGAACATACACAATAATTATGAGTTTTATTTCCAAAATTTTAACCTATACAGTAATACATGTACAACAGTACATTTATTTTCTATTTTTTTCTTTACAGAAACTTGTGCTGGGATTAGAAAAGAGCTGGAAGAAGTGAGAGAAAGGGCTAACCCACTCATGGGGATTAATGTAATGATCAGTCTTTAAACAACATAGACTTGTTTAATAAGCTGCACTTACCATTTGCTGCAATTAATAAGTCAAATTTAATGGTAACTATTATTTTGTCTCTCTCTTCCTTTCCTTATTTAGTGGGAGCCATTATCAGTTAACAGTGCTTCAAGACAGGTGCCTCTATCATTAGCAGCTGCATTGGCTGATGAAAATAAAGTAAAATGAATTAATAATAATAATAATAATGTCTATTTATGTACATCTAAATTACACAAAATTATTAATAATTTTTATAAAAGTCATAGCTAATTCTTTTCTTTCCTATAGGATCCTACTGCTACTATAATTGTAACTAAAAAAGCTACTCACGTCATAACAGATGGAACTGCTACAATAACCAAACGTAAAGGGCCCCCAGGAGCTGGAGGAGGAGTACCGCCTGCAGCTGCTGGGTCTTCTAAACTTGATGATATTAGAAAGAGACTGGATAGATTGAAGGCCGGTCAATATTGAAATGTGCATCACAGTGTTATAGCATAATATTATGTAATAATAATAATAATGACAACTTAGTTTCTCCATATTATTGATAATAATAATCGAAACTGTATTTTAATAATAACAATAAAAGATACAAAAATCATAAAAACAGACAAGTTATTATAAAAGGCTAGTTCCTCCAAAATTAGCAAAAGGGTTGGCTCCAGGAGCAGGACCCATTCCCATACTGCCAGTACTGGTATGAGGCTGTGATGGCTGTAGCATCCCCATACTGTTAGTCTGCATTGGCTGTAATAGACCCACTCCCGTACTACTGGAACCAGAATGAGTCTGTACTGGTTGCATTAGACCAACACTAGGAGACTGAGACTCAATATTTGACGACCATCCTGTGACAGATTGAGACCCTCCCATTCCCATACTGCCAGATTGAGATCCTCCCATTCCCATACTACCAAATTGAGATCCTCCCATTCCCATACTGCCAGATTGAGAGCCTCCCATTCCCATACTGCCAGATTGAGAGCCTCCCATTCCCATACTGCCAGATTGAGATCCTCCCATTCCCATATTGCTGAATTGAGATCCTCCCATTCCCATATTGCCAGATTGAGATCCTCCCATTCCCATACTGCCAGATTGAAATCCTCCCATTCCCATACTGCCAGATTGAAAGCCTCCCATTCCCATACTTCCAGGTTGAGAGTCTCCCATTCCCATATTACCAGATTGAGATCCTCCCATTCCCATACTGCCCCCTACTGGTTGCATATTATTTTGTGGATTAATACTAGAAGACCATCCCATTCCTGTACTGCTAGTATTGGTTTGACTAGGCTGCAATATTCCCATACCGGTGTTCGACTGTCCCATTCCCATGCTTCCAGTCTGTATGTTTGATGACCACCCAGTGTTCGTCTGAGTTGGTTGTAATGTTTCCATTCCCATACCACTGGAACCACTCTGCATTGGCTGCATTAATCCCATTCCCATGCTGGTAGGTTGAGATTCAATATTAGAAGACCATCCAATTCCAGTTCCCATACTGCCAGAATGAGTCTGTGCTGGTTGCATGATTCCCATTCCACTCGTATCAGAACGATTCTGTGCTGGTTGCATTAGTCCCATTCCCATTCCACTATTATTAGAATGAGTCTGTGCTGGTTGCATCATTCCCATTCCACCAGTATCAGAACGACTCTGTGTTGTAATACTACTAGACCAACCCATTCCAGTACTTGGAGGTTTTGTTCCCATACCAATAGAATCAGAATGAGTATTTACAGATGATCTATTGATAGGCGGAGTCAAAGAGGCCGAAGGTACATCCCAAGTGGCAAAAGAGGGTGTGGCTTTAGCTTCACTGAAATCGATTTTCCTAGTTACTTGAGAAGGTGATGGAGTATTGGCAGACATTTTGATATCATTGAGATCCAATCCAGAAAATATATCATCAACCTACATGTATAATAACGATACTAACAATAATGTACATGTAAATGTATATTTCTCTCCTCATTCTCTCCCTCCCTCCGTCACTCTCTCTCTCTCTCCCTCCCCCTCTCTCTTACAGTGGTGGTGTGCTTGGAGGAAATAGCTGGGGATGAGGAGAGTCCACTAGTAGAATGAGATGGAACATTGTGTGTATGTGATGACGTAGTACTGCCAAGTTTAGAGATTACACTGTCTTCTTTTCCTCCTCCGAATTTGTTCTCAATCTGTCGAGTGGCTTCTTCCATTGCTTTAGCATCAGACACTTCCTTTGCAAAACTGACAGTTGACCTGTAACAAGGAATAAATAAAAGAGAAGTCATGACTCAAAAAATTGAAGTCAGAATTGGCCCAAACTTTTTACGTAGCATAAGTACATCAATATGTATCAGAAAATGTAACATAAATTTGGGGTGATTTGACTGATTTCATAGCCATTTTTTGAAAAAAACCATGGGCTATAAGCCTTTGCTCTTTTTCAAAAATTGGCTCATTTTAAAAATGGTCATAACTTGAAAATTATTTGTCGGAAACAGCTCAAACTTTCTACACAGCATAAGGACATCAATATGTATCAGAAAATGTAATAAAAATTTGGGGTGATTTCAGAGCCATTTTTTGGAAAAAACCATGGGCTATAGCCTTGGGTACTTTTCAAAATTTTGGTATTGCCTTAAAATGGCCATAACTTGAAAAATTAAAGCCGGAATCAGCTCAAACTTTCTATACAGCATAAGTACATCAATATGTATCAGAAAATGTAATAAAAATGGGGGGTGATTTCGGAGCCAATTTTCAGAAAAAACCATGGGCTATAGCCTTTGCTTTTTTTCAAAAACTGGCTTGTTTCTTAAAAATGCTCATAACTTGTTGGAAACAGCTTAAACTTTCCACATAGCATAAGGACATCAATATGTATTAGAAAATATATAAAAGAGTGTGTACATTGGAGTGAGTTGCTTCACTTACTTGGTCTGTTCCTCCATCTTTGCCAGTTGCTCTAAATGAACTCTTTGATCTGATTCTATCTTCTTCAACATCTCTTTAATGACCATCATAAACTGATTGAACTAAAAACACAATAACACATTATATATATATATATATATATATCTCCTATCCATTACCTGTGTCACATTCAGACTATTCTCAATAGAGAGTGGAATAAGAAATGGCAATATCTTACAAGCCAATTGCTTCTTATCAAATCCTAAAGTCTGACTGGTAAAGGCCTTATGAATAATCCCTAAAAATTAAAAAATAATAATAAATACTAGTATTATCACTACTTCACATAAAATCACCCAGCTAATAAAAATAATTAATTAATTAATTAACCATGCCTACCTAATAAAATTATTAATTAATTACTATAAACCACACCCACCTAATATAGCCATCAGCACACCGGGCTCTCTTGATCGTATCTGATATACAGCTGGGATTATGTTCTCATGAATCATACCTTTATCCAGAGAGTCTAGCATTTGTCCAACTGCCACTAGACTCTTAATCCTCAACTAAAAACAACAACAAATTATAAACAACAACAACAAAATTATAAACAACAACAACAAAAACATAAACAACAACAACTAGTATAAATTTGTTCCTTGTAGCTTAGTATTATTAGTTTTATATTTTAATTTTACTTCATTTATTAATAATAAAATATTAATAATTATACTCACTGATTCTGACGATGATTTAACACATATCTCAGTGATCCTTGGTATGATGGAGTGCTTCATTGATGTATAGTCAATCATGTCAGCAAATGTTGGCAATATACTCATACACAATTCCTATTATGAAAATAATGACAACTGGTTTAAATTAAAGTGCAGCACAAATTCCAGGAACACAATTATGAATAACACAAACTACCATCTATCTGGAAATTTTTATAGTGACTTAATTTCTAATAGAATTAGAATTCCACAAAAATTAGATCACACGTATGATTACATCCTACAGTTAATGATGCACAACACAGTCTTTCTTTTGCATAAATTTCCTGATTCACAAAATTTGTATTTATATATACTTTTCCTCTTCTTTTCCTTCTCCTCTCTCTCTCTCTCTCTCTCTCTTCATCTTTTCTCACATAAATCTGTCTTAACTCTTAATTCTCTCTCCTTTCTTTTCTCTTTTTTATTTCTATGATTTTATCCTTTCTCCCTCTCTCTCCCAATTTCCTTTATCTTCTACGTACTGTACCCCATACAAGAAAAACATGTACATGTCATGTATATATATATATATATATATATATATATATATATATATATATATATATATATACATACATACATGTACATTTACATGTACATGGACATACCTGTACTTGACTACTAGATGACTCCATTGCTCCTAGTATCATTGGCAGCAAGTGCTGTCTTCTCTCTTCAGGGTTAGTCAGCTTGAGGAGTAGGTCCATTTTTTGAAGGAAGATAAGAGGAATCTGTACAAAAACAAGCATAACAAGTCAACATGAGGAATATCCCCTCTCGCAGTGCAAACTCAAGTAAACAAAAATATCTTGGCAGCCAAAGAGTCCATACACAATTATACACATACAACAGCTTAATGTGTGGAATGTGTACACATGCGTGGACAATATATACACGCATGTACTCTTAAATGTGTGTAGTACATGTACCCGTATATATTGGATATTGTAGTCACTATACTTTTCATAATAATTACGCAAACTAAATACCTCGTGCTCGTGTAAACAGACAAAACACATCAATGAGTGGTTGTGTGTGAGGGAGAGGCTGAAAAGGTGTAGGCTCTTATTGAAATATATTATGTATACCCATTGTATCAGGAGTAGTTAGAGTACATAACATCATGTACTTTTGATTGTAGGACAAATAATGGATTTGTGAGTACATAATAATATGTAATCTTGATCGTACAATAGGACAAGTACCGTATAGCGGGTATATTTCCTCTGGAAAAATGTTCGTTCTAAGCAGGATTAGAGATTTTCGATCGTTTTATTTTCGTTCTGAGCAGCCATTTTGTACACGTGGCATTGAGGAAACGCCTTTTTCGTTTGGAAAATATTCGTTCCACAAGGAATGAGAACGAAAAGAACGAAATTAAACTCTGACGGAATATACCCGCTATACGGTAATGAAAATTTGCGTAATCGATGTGCATGAGTACATTATATAGCTATCGGGTTACAGTTATACGATAATTGCCCGTTATGTGAAAGCATCATATTACAAAAGAATTTACTCAACAGTGACACGCTTTACCTCTCCCTCCCCTTCTCCCTGTACCTGTATGGGATCATGTATCCTAAAGGCCGGTATCAATATTGGTAACACTAGTGTGCTGTATTCTTCAATGGAGCAATCGTCAGCTATCAACAAAACTAATGGAAGAACAAACGGGATCATCTTGTGGTTACGAAACTCCATCCCAAGTGCTGGTAGTATTCTGTGATGCAACAGCCTCTAGTTATTAATAGTTATCAATAGTTATTAATGGTTATTAATAGTTATTAGGTCTTACTTTTGGGTACTTTGTTATGATACGACTGAGGCTTCCCTTGAACCACTGTGACTTGTCAATGTCTGATTTCTCAACTAAAGTCTCGATGTATCTCAACCCATTAACTAACACGTCATCAAAGAACTCATGCTGTAAGAGAGAGAGGGGGGAGGGAGAGAGAGGGTATGAAGGAAGAATCATTTTAAATATTATCACAATCTCTTCTAAAGAAGTCACAAGGAGAGGAAAGGTATGCAATTACAACATAACATACACAAAAGTATAACAGAAACAGAAAATACACTCAACTAATCCACTTAACATACATAACTGTATATTATATTGCATACGAATGTATACGCATACCGTAAGCACATGTACATGTACAAAATGAACATGTAATGCTAGTGTGACGAATTACTCAATAATTATCCAAGAGTTAACTGCTAATATGGATGAGAGACTATATGGTATTCTATGAATCCTCATGCATGTACATGTACATATACAAATAGACTGAAGGCATTATATCATTAATAATCATACCTTAGCTATTTGTAGTGAGTCGGGCCTGACAGAAGGTTCAATAGTCAACAAAGACCTCACTAGAGAGCGGAGAGGGAAAGGAGTATCCCCAAGCATAGACTCTGATATTCGACTAGTCTAAGGACATTATATGTCAGATTCAATTGGATATTATTGTTACTCAATTTACCATCTCGATATTCTGCTTGTACGTTCTAAGGTTGTCCTTGCAGTCAAAAAGAGGTTTCCCTGAATTATAAATAGCAAATATTAGCATTCCAAATGAGTAGAGGTCGCATTTCTCATTGACAGTGTTTGAGAGAACAACTTCTGGTGCTAGGTAGTTGAGGGTTGGATGCAATGGGAATGCCTTAGTCTCCTTGAATGAGTAGCCTGGAGTCTGTAGTAGCATATAATAGTACATGATAGTAACTGAGAGTACATGTAGAAATTAGTGACAAATTGTAATGAGTGAAAACACAATGCTATAGTGTGTATACACAAATTCTTAAAATAACAGCTATAAAAATGTGTAAAGTATGGTTGGTTCTTTATACAAGATATTTCCTAAATTAAATTCTGTGAAAATTGATTCAATAGTCAAATTTTGCAAAAAAAATTGGAAAACTCTGGAGTCAGGTCATTCGTAAAAAATTATTATCCTTGAAAAATGCCATAATGATATCTTTTCCCTTACCTCTGACTCAATAGAACTGGCAAAGTTAAAGCCGGCCAGTTTCCAGTCTCCGTTAGTGCTAATAGTGATATTGTCGATGCAGAGGTTACCGTGTCTCATTTTAACGTTATTATGTAGGAAATTGAGACCTTCAGCCAACTGGAGGAGACCATAGTGAACCTCTAATGTGTGGACCTGGTACTCCTAAAGTTGAGAGGGAGAAAATAAAAAAGGATTATGAGGATATACATGTAGAGTAGATGTGCCAGTTATCATGAGTTATGAGACACACTTAAAATATTTGAATTTTCAAATTTATCATTGAAATTACAGGCAGTGTCTCTCATAATACAAACTGTCTCATAATTATATACCAGCACTTACTCTACACACAAAATAGGAGAGAGAGAGAGGGAGGGAGGAAAAATAAAAGGGAGTGTGTGTATGTGTGTACACAAGATGGGGAATTGGTGTGTGAATCGGCTTGAGTAATAGCTGACACAATAGTCGTTTAAAGTTAATTATCATTCCAGACTACAATATCATAGTGATTAGTAATAACACATCAACAACTACTATAATATATAGCCACTCGACCAAATAATGATGACAAATATACTAATACATGCTTGTTAACAACTCATGTTGACACAAAAACAATAATCGATAAAAATTCAAATAACAATAGTACTAATTATTATAATGATGAAAGGATATAGGGATATTAGTCACACACGCTTTTGGTATAAAAATTTTAATTAAGTATATAATACTTAGTTTACTGAGTAGTATACTGACTATGATCCAGTATACTCAAGAGCTATGCCCATTCTCAACAGGCGTAGTGGAAGAGGTCCGGCAAGACGGTGACTTTGCTACAGGCGATGTCAAACTATCTCCATTTGAATCAACGCTCTGACTCTGAGCATGAATAAGCAAAGAGTCCTTAGGGAGATTACGAGAGAGTGTCCCCGTATTAGCTCCACCCCCAGGGGCTGGGGTACGTGGGGCGGCAGTCTTCAGGGAGACGGAAGCGACACGAATCTTTAAACAATCGTCACGAATGAATTCAGTGTCCTTCTCTGAGTTATAAGTCAAGTCTCCTTGAGATATGAACTGAGTTGGGCCGTTGCCTTCTTTAGCCATCTCCGCATCGACGACACGGTTACAAACAGCAGTGGGTGTGTCGTCTGTAAAACGTATAACCTTCTGGTAGTGCTGGCGGTCGGAGCGCTGATTCAGCAACTGAATGGTAACGTTCCCACGGAACGGCCAATCCAGATTATCGTCATATTCGCCGCGGACTAGGTACAAGAAGACAGACATGTGGGTTCCCTTTCCGTCAAGGACTCCGTTGCAAAAAACAAACATGCCAAACTTGTAGCCTTCAACGTGAGAGTAAAATGGCCGACTGTACCACCACTTATCCGACTGGCATAGCTGAGATACTTTATTAATAGTGAAAGTAAGGGGAAGGGGGCTTGGAATGAACTGACGTAAAATCCCTAGATCTCTCGTGAGGGTGTGTGAGAGTTGCTCTGCAAGTGAGAGTCGTTTCTCTTGCATTTCTAAAGTACGCTGAGCTTTATCCAGTGCTGTCTGGAGCTCTCTTGTCTCTCTGTCTTTCTCTCTTGCCAGCTGTGCGAGGTCCCGCTTTAATTTAAATATCTCGTCGTCTTTTGACTTGAGGAGTTCTTCAAAATGAGCGTCAATTTCGTCAGTATTGAGGGGCTGAGGGGGCGGGGTTGGGGGAGGGGCTACAACAGTTTGAGGCGGTGGGAGTGACTCAAGCTTACTCTCCAGTTCTTGTTTTCCTTTGATGATCGATTCGGCAAGAAGAGTCATGTGACTTGCCACACCCTTCTCAAGATGTATCGGGATTTTATCTCGTCTCATTTTAGCCGTACAGCCAATTGCAGCCAACGGGCATGGAAGACTATCTTGATACTTGCAAGAGTTTTTGATGTGATTTTCGTAAGAGGAACGAGGAATAGGGCCCTCGGGACACTTGTTAGGGCAGGGGAGTGGAAAGCGAGGGCAAGTGGGAAAATGAACGGTAGAAACCTCCTTGTAGGTTCCCTCAGCTTCTTTGCAGTACTCGCATTTGTAGGGACGGTTTGGGCACTTGTTCTTAGCGTGATCTTCCAGGAATTTCCTCGGCTGCTTCTCTCCGCAGTCGTGAGGGCAAGGGAGCTTTATGAAGACGCAGCCAGACTTGTTTCCCCTCTCTATATGGCGAGGGAGATGCTCCAAGTGCCCGAACCAAAGACAGCCATCACTTACGTGAAGACAGCGAACATAGAGCTCGTTCACATTTCTCTGTGTTTCCCCGTCAGCCTCGCTCTCCCAAGAGCTCTCTCCGCACGAAGGACAGGCTCCTTCTGCTTCTTTCAGGCCTTGTATGCACGTGCGACAAGAAGAACGAGCTTTGCAGCAAGAGAAGAGTTGCGGGTCCCTGTAGACCCTCCCGCAGTCCGGACAAAGAAGCTTCTGCGGTGGAAGCTCCGTAAAGTCCACTTTAGTCGTCTCCAGGTCGACTATGACGGCTGTAGAGCCAGCCATTCCTTTGTCTCCAGCGCTTGCTTTTCTCATTGGTGATGTTACGCTCACTGAGCTGCTCGAGGAAGGTGAGAGAGGAATGCCAGCCTCCTCCTTCTCTGGAAACCTGTCAAACGCTTCATCAGACATTCTATGATACTATGACAACAGCCACTTGGCAAAGCAAGTCCAGAAAAAGAGGGAAAAGAGGGCAAAAACACTAAACACACTCCGGGGATCTGAAGAGCAGCAGGGCACCGTACACAAGTATGGTTTACTTTTGGTGTTTATAAAGGGTTATCATACCATATAAACGAGAGATAAGTACTATAGATAACATACTATAGCTCAGCCTAATAATTTGATTAGGATTATCATAACAGTATTAGGGTTTATGCTAAGAGGGAGTGTGGGGGCAAAGTATGAACTGTAATATAATAATAAGAAGACAAAATAAAATAAGATAATACGAGATAAAATTCCAGCAACGGGAAACTAAGAATGATCGATCGATGGAAGTATAATAGTAATTATATATGACAACATTGACCATTATAAACAAAATAGCATACGTGTAGGACAAATAAATGCAATATGAGTTTGAATTTACAACACAGCTACTGCACATCAGTTTGAGAAAACACTATCTACATGTTTATTATTAGCAGTAGTAGTAGTAGTTTACTGTTAGTAGTAGCAATAGTATTTTTATAGTCAAGCAGAAATAAATGAGAACAAATAGATAAGAAACATAAAAATATACCGTAAGACACACATAAAGCTAACTAACAGATTAATAATAATGATGAAATAACTACCTTAATATCAGGAGGTAGAGGAGATGGGAGATTGGCATAGTAACCAAGGACATTGGCAAGACTAGCTACAATTGGCTCAGTTGCAAATGCAAGACAATCACTAGAAAAAGAGAGAGAGAGGAGGAGGAGAAGGAAAGAGGACTAAAAGTGACATCTAATAATAACTAAATATTAAATAAGCCGATAAATTATGATAAAGAGTGTGATTATGCTAAACGATGCTTGACGTTTAAAGAAATAAAACATTTTAATTGACTAATAACGCCATTACAAATAACAAATTTGACACAGAACTAAGAACTCCCAATCTTAATGACTAAGTAAAACCTCACATAAACAAGAAGACAATAGCCTAAATTTAAAAATCATAATATATAGATACATGCATATGTATTAGAAAAAACTATTTAAAAAAAATCCTCTCACTTTGATTTTGCTATAGACCAACTCTAAAAATTCATAAAAATTCAATTTTCATTGGAATTAGCTCAAACTTTCTACACAGCATAAGTACATGCATATCAGAAGAAAATATTAAAATTCTCTCATTTTCATTTTAGCCAAAGACCATGTGTAGACCTGATTTCCCCAGGAGCAAATTCAAAAATTTGTAAAAAATCCAATTTCAATCGGAATCAGCTAAAACTTCAGTACAAGATAAGTACATGTACATGTATATGAGTCAAAATATATTTTTAAAAGAATTCTTTTGTTTTCATTTTTGGTAAAATTTGGCCTGAGACCATGTACTAAGTACAGGGACTTTGGCCCAATTTTGAAACAACTTTTAAAATTTGTAAAAAAAATCTATTTCGATCAGAATCAACTTAAACTTTCTACAAAACATGTACATATAATCATTTGTCACATTGTATATCATAATATAAACCAGTTGGTATTAGGGTTACCTTGATTCCTCGACAGGATGGTCTACTGTTAGTATCTTTGGATGGCGGAACTTGGCTAAATGAGTCGGGCCTTTCTTAAGTAGCTCAAACAAAGCTTCGCGCTCCTTTTTAGGTACTTTTTCTAGCTCGGGTGCCGTCTTGTAAAATATGAAAACAGAAACTGCCTACAAGAAGAGAAGGAGGAGCATAAAACAGCGAGCCACGCCCATACTTGTTTGGTCGACTTTTTCTCTCCATTAAAAACCTTCCACAACAGGCCAGGACCGGCACTGGCCACTTGCTTCCCTAACTCATATTCTCTCAGTACAGGGTTCCCTTTTATGGCTGTCTTTAGCTTTCCAAGAAGAGACATCTTTATTTAACCCCTCGCCCATAAAATACAGAAAGCCAAACCTACTAAAGGCGTGGCTAATAAATCAACACTTGCAATTATTATTAGCAGTTTGCTGTTTTAGCCCTTCTTCTCTTTCTCAAGTTCAATTTAGTCTACCAGCACATTCAGCTTCCTTGCAATCACTAATATAACTCCAGTCTTCATTGCAGAGGAGCAATCTGCTTCATCATGTTAGGCAGGAGAACTCAAAGTCTGGGACAAAACGCTCTAAAATCACAGTTGAGCATAGCCCAGCAGAGGATAGCATCTCTGGAAGGATACATTCAAAACAGAGAAAGAGAATTTCAGGTGTATACTGATAATAAATAAATTAATATTATACGGTCATTTTAATTACTATATAGAGTACAGCATCACGTTCACAGCATGTAAGTACAGTGAGTGGAGCAGTGTCTCCTGTAATGCAGGGAAGGACTAGGAGGAGGAGAATGGGACGGACTCATGCAAATGTTCTCCTCTCTACAAGAAGCATTGACTCAATTGATGAGGAACATGAGAGGAATGACGGTACTTTAATATAATTATTAATTCAGAATGAGTCCAACTATCATCATCATGGTACTCTGTCAACTATGGCAGCATTATTGTTTATTTTTACCTCAAAAATATCGCAAAAATAAACACTGTCTTCCTAACTATTAATAGTACTTGCTTTTATTAATAGTACTTGTTCTATTAATAGTACCTGTTCTATTAATAGTACCTGTTCTATTAATAGTACTTGTTTCTATTAGTAGTACTAGTACTTCTTTCTATTAACAGATTCTCTGTCTGTTCCTTTGGGTGAATTTGTTTCCCTTAAAATCATTAATGCTATCTCTAAAGATGAGGACATGCCTACTCCATTTGTTGTACGTCGGTTGATAGGACGTGTTTATCACATTGGTCCAGAGGGTGTTGTAATTGGCACCTCTCCCTCTCCCTCCTCCTCTCGTGTTTCTTTACCTGCCGAGTCTCAAATGGAGAGAGAACACTTTACACTGAAATCAGCACCTCCTGACTCAAATGGAAAATTTATTTTAAAAGATTTAACTAATAAATCTGGTCTTTCTATTGATCACGTGACCAATCACACGACTACCATTGAGGAGGGAGTATTGCTACACTCTGGTATTTGTTTCACCACTGGTATCATTGTATGGGAGGTTACTGCCCTACCAAAGGACATTGAACTAACTGCTAAACTATTCAATTTAACAGAACTGAGGGATGTGATGGGACTCAAACAAATGATAGACGCAATGGAGCCTCCTACTAATACAATACCCTCACTTACCATAACTGGTTAGTATTACATTAGTATTAGTATTACATTAGTATTACATTACATTAGTATTACATTAGTATTAGTATTACATTATTCTTATTATGCTTTGCTTTGTATGCTAGCTGCATCTAGTGCAATCATAATCAGTGATCAATGCTTAGCTCACCTTTTAAATGTCTTACATTAGTCTAGTATAATAATTATTGTTACCTGCATATTCATTGAATTGCTGTTATACAGATACATTGTATTTATATTCTATTATGAATAGGAGCTGAGGATACAACTCCAATTGATGTATCTTTTACAATATTTAACCCTGTGACCCCTCTGACGTCGTTCGACATCAACACAGAATACAAGGCTCCTTCGTATGAGGAAGACGAGAAATACAATAATTTATTCTCAGCGTCATCTCAGAAACCCTTTCAACTGGGCGGAGCCTTATTGGCCCGTCAGTCAGTCCCTGTATCAGTGGGTCACCACAGACCTTGTTTAATGCTTCACATTGCTATTGATAACGATGATGAGGATATGACCAGATACTTACTGTCAAGAGGAGCCAATGTAAGCTAAATATGTTCAACTCTAACGGTTTTGCAATTAAAAAGTTTTTATCTGGGTACTTTTTGTGGACAGATGCATATTACACATGTACAATGTACATGTACTGCAATTTTTGAGATTAAATAATTGTCATTAACATTAATTCACAAGCAGGGTTATATAACCCATCCAAAAATTGTTTTATCAAAAGATTACTATACAACAGCCCAAAGTTAGGCTCTACCTCTATATGCAGTGTTATTTGTAAAAGCTATCGTGGGTTGCATGACTGTGGCTAACATTTTGTGTACTTATATAAACTGTAATGCATAATTATGAGCATGTGCAGCAATTTCAATTGTGAATCAGCAAAATGAAATTAAAGCACTGTAATAGTGTACATCATTTATATATGAGTATACATGTAGTCCAGTATTCATCCATTTCCTATGGAGTATTACAGTGTTATTACTTAATAGTACATTTATCATGTACAAGTGATTTTCATTTGTTACTGTAGGTTAATAAACCTGGTGGTGAGCTAGGATACACAGCAGTCCATTATGCTGCTTTGCGTAACAATGACAAGATAATGTCACTATTGTTACAGTATGGTGGGGATATGGAGATGAGGAATAACGAGCATTTGCCACCACTGGCCCTTACGACCAGCTACACTGTGAGGTAATGACTCCACTCTGTATGTCACCTATAGAGTAATAATAAAATATGATAATAATAATAAAAACTTCTCAGTGACACAAATAAAGGATTAAAAATAACAAGAGGATAATTCAGTAGCACTAGAGGTCCTAGTTGAACATGCTGAAACAGCCTTTAAGTGTTTAAGTTAATTTGGATTACAATTTTGAAGTTGTGAGCTGAATGTAGTGTATATTGCTTATGGTCTTAATGTTAAAGCAGAACTTTATAATATAAGTGACAGACCACCGACACAATCGAACAGATTGATAAACAATTCTTGCATTATTGAGATAACAGAATCAGCTTAAACAACTTTTTGCTCTACAAGTGAATGTTGTTTTTATCCCTTACAGGAAACTGATATTAAACTCTATATTGCTGTGTGCAGCTGCTGATGCTGGCGATATGCCAGAAGTGACACGCCTACTTTCAACCACGCCCACCAGCCCTAATGTACTGGGACTGAGACATAAAAATGCTCTGCACCTTTCATCAGCTAAAGGATACCCTGAAATAGTTGAGCTGCTAATAATGAATGGGGTAAGTACTATGCAAGATACCTTAATTATTGGCGAGGAATTGATACTGCTACTGTCGTATAGGGGTTTTATTTGAGGATAACAAATTTTGCAGATTTTTGAAAATTTGCAATATTAAATTCCTTGAAAATCAATTTAATATGGTACAAAATGACACAATAGTGGCAATTCAATTTCGTGAACTTCTGGATACAGCCAAGTAATTGCGAAAATTATTATCCTCAATAAAACTTGCTATTGATGGTTTTGTGAAGATATTGCCAATATATAAAACCCACAATCTTGTTTCAGTCTGAGCATACCAATGATATGTTGTACAAAGTTGCCAATACAAAATTTGCTAATTACTTTCCACAGACAAATTTGCCAAATATTACTCTCCTCACTAAAATATCATTATTGTATGATGTGTATATTATGACTATATCATGTGATTAGGTTGATGTTAACATGAGAGGTGGTACAAGGCAGCGTACTGCTCTACATTATGCTAGTAGCAACGGACATGCACCTATAGTCCAGCTGTTACTGAGTTCAGGTGCTCAAGAGTTTGTGAGAGACATAGGAGGATATACAGCTCTCAATCTTTGCCAGGGAGAAGCCTGTCATCTCCTACACTCTGTTAGTAATAAGAGAATACTCTAGCATGAGTTAATGTCATTATTTTATGTGTACATGTATATCATATTTTTGCAGAAGCCAATGTCTCTATGCATTGCTGTACAAAGTGGAGATGCTGATCGAGTTAGTAAATTATTAGAAGAGCTTCATGACAAAGAAGAGAAAGAGGATGAGGGGGAGGATATTATAAATCTAAGAAATGATCAGAATCATGCCCCACTGCATTTAGCATGCATAATAGGATCAATGTAAGTGAATGGGATTCTTATGCTCATTAACAGACTCTGCCTGATAGGGAGCTGGTTCAGTTGTTAGTGTCTTATGGTGCATCCATTGGTATTCACGGTGGCAGTGACGGCTGGACACCACTCTTCTATGCAGCTATAGCTGGTAAGACATTTTAATGATTTTATCATAATAATAATAATAAGAACCGAAATTGTTAGTATTATTATTATTATTAGTAGTAGTAGTAGTATTAAACTTATTATAACTATATTTGTAACTTAGTTTACAGTCCAGTTAATAATTTGCAGCCTCTAATTAATATCTTTATATTCCTTTGCGCGACAGTAGTAAAACTCGTATGACTCCCCATTATTGACAGCTTTCCATGGATACTTCCTAGCCAGCCTCTTCACATCCCTCTCGCCGGATGCATAGTCCTCTGTGTACCCAAAAGCGTGTGACCACTCGTGGATCAGTGTTGCCTCCATGCTACCCCCATCTCTACGACAGTACACAGGATCTTCAAAGAATAGGTCACAGAGGTAGACTATGTCAGAACCGTAGTAGGTGTATCCATACCAGTTAGGTTGGCAGTCAAATGGGCGTATGAAATAAGTGGCATTATAATAGTACAGTCCGTTCTCAATTGCCCAGTAGACCTCTTTTACTCTATAAGCTCTCCTCCTGCTGTATCTCCCAAACCATTTCCTGTAGAGTCGATCCCTTCTCACCCTGTCCAACGCATTGATTGATCCATCGCAGAGCTCCTTGTGGGCTTTTGTTGTGTTCTCCCTCTCTCCTTGCGTCCCTCCGATAAAGCCAGCACTAGAACAGGATTCCACGTGAACAATGTCTTCCTCTTTGACCTCTATTTCCTCTCTGAATTGATTTGGAGCAGAAAATGAGCTGACTCTTTCCAACTCAAGGGAAATGGATTTACTAAAGCTTATCTCCTTAAGCTCCATGTTGCGTATCTTGCTAATACCAGCCTCAAAGCTATATTTGGACAGGTAATGCAAGTTGCCGGTATATTCTATGCTGTAGCTGCCATCAAAAGAGAAGAAAAAAGCATCATTGACTTGTATGATTTTTTCAATGCTTTCTCCTGCCCTAATGAGTATAAAATCATCTTTTGTAGGAGGGCCTTGATACACGTAGCGTCCTTCATATGCGAGGGCATCGTCATTGAATTTGACTGCAATGAAAGGAGAGAGGAGTCCCTCAAGTGGGGTGTTACGCTTGAGGAGATAGAAGTCCTCCATAGCGAGGTTTTTAAACTGGAAAGAGCAAACTACTTGAGTAACGAATTGAGAGCAGCCCATATCAAGAGAGAGAGGCCATTCTCTAGAAATAGCAGAAAAATATATAGACACTAACAACTCTACTGAAAGCAATTTATGACTAATTTTAACATTTTCTTTTGAACTATTTTGCTGATACAGTAATATGTAATATGTATGGTAATATCAGTGGATTAAAGCACAAATTTTGCCTGCAATAGAGTTGCCCCGTATGGTGTGTGTGTGTGTGTGTGTAAATGCAGACATCAAGGCAAGCTAGGGAATGAACTACAAATACAGAATTATGAATTAGTTTAGATTTTACAGCATAGTGAACCTTGTCACTAGATTCAACTCACCCTAGTACATAGGTTATGCTAGCAATCAAATAGAGCAGTGAAATCATGGTCTTCATTATTATTATCATTGCCTCAAAGTGTTCCTTCCTTTCTTGATAGGTATTGAAGAATCTCCTGTTCCTTATATAGCATGATGGTTTGGTGTGCTATTTCATGCGAATTTTAACTAGGGTAGAGCTAGCTCACTTGTTACATTTAATGTGAAAGTATTGATAGTTGTATTACTATTGAAATCGCTGGCTGTCCGTTTGAATTACTACGACATACAAATTATTTTTAAATTTGATAATCACATGAGTATGTGATTTATTAAATTAGTAATAATAATTTATTTTTATTGTAGGTCATATCAATATTGTTCAGTTTTTATTGTCAGTGGGTGCTAACTGTGAGGTAAAATGTTTATTTGATTATTATTATTTTATTATGTTTTTTTGTTTTTATTTTAGGAAGCGGATAATGATGCCATCACTGTTAGAGAGAGGGTCCTTAAAGTCATTGAAGAAACTGAGGAATGTATGACACGTCTTAAACAAAGAAATAGATCAGAAGTATCCATCCTTCTACCTCTCTCTCCTTCTCTTTCCCTCTCTCTCTTTTGTCTTTCTTTTTGTTTTATTATATTTTCTTTTTTTAATTATTAGTCTGTGGTTGAGGCTAGTTTGTTTCCACGACGCTCAGTGAACATGCTAAGACAGGTGAGATAAAGCTTACATACAGTGTGTAATTCTTATTTTTATTTTATTTTATTTTAGGAGAGTGCTCCATCATGTTCTGTGGAGACGCTATTAGAATGGCAGGCCACTAAACTCAATAAGCTTCAGACGGTTTTGTCGCTGTTGACCACTCCCACCGAGAAACTGTTAGCTGCTCTGAATGACAAAAACCTTGACGAGTTCATGTAAATAAGATACTGTCTACTTAATATTTGGAAAAACAAATTATTATTATTATTGTTCTTTTTTAGTTCGTTGCTGCAGTCTGGTGTTGTGTCTCCTGATGTCTTGTTAGATGATGTTCCTGTCCTAGCTCAAGTCTGTGATGATGGCCTTTATGGATTTGCCAAGGCATTGCTTGATCACGGGGCTAAGGTAGGAGAATAAAATACAAAATAGGTTTTCAGTAGACTGAGCATAATGGAGAGATTTTAGCCCATGGTTTTTCCCACCTTCGCTTCAGTCTAAATTTTTTAGTTATCAATATTATTGAAAGCAGTAAATTTTCAGAAAAAGCAAAACTATAGTATGTTTTTTTTCCAAAAATTTTTGAGTTATGGGCATTTTTAGAAACGAGCCAATATTGGCTCTGAAATCACCCCTAATTTTTAGTACATTTTCTGATACACACTGATGTCCTTGTGCATTATTCAGGTATGTTTGAACGGATCGACAAGTCAAATACCAGTTCTAGCAGCTGCCAGTAATGGCAATGTGCCTCTACTGAAGCTCCTAATGGAGTATGGAGCTGACATTAACGCTAAAGTAAGGAAACACTGCACCTTTGTATTAAATAAACTTTCATCTTTATTTATTCATCATGTAATTCAACAATATCCATTATTACAGAGTACTGATACATTGAGCACTCCACTGCATGAAGCTGCAGCCATTAATAGTGCAGACACTGTCAAGTATCTGCTATCAATTGGAGCTGACAAAGGGAATACTAATCATGCTGGTGAACTGCCTTTTGATTGTACTAATGACCCAGAGATACGCAAGTAATCCATTAATGAAGTACTTATCACAACACGATAGTAACAATAACAATACTAATAGCTTATCTAGGAACACTGATATTATTTCTCAGCATGCATTAATTATCCAGTTATTCTATATGGCAGTAAATAAACTGCCTTTTGCCAAACCTACTAATATAGTACTCCTAAAAATCTATTAATAGAACTATATGTAGCAGCCTAAAAATCTATAAAAAGTAGTACATGTATCTATTACTCTATTAATAATACTTAATTTATCAATAGTACTTAATCTATTAAACTACTTAATAATGCATGTATTTGCTTTATTCAATCAATGTATTACACTTACAGGTTACTTGCTATTGGTAGTAACAGATTATTAGTAGCAGCAATGGAGGATGACACTGCTGCCATCACTGAGCTAATCAATGATGAAAGCATATCAGTAGACACAGAATTCTATCACAATGGCTACACAGCACTCCACCAGTCCTCTGATAATGGAAACAGTGACACTGTTAAGCTATTGATAAACCTTGGAGCTGACGTCAACAAAAAGGTACATATTATGATATGACTATTATTATTATTATTATTATTATTATTATTATTATTATTATTATTAGGGTGGTATGTTCTCTCAGTCCCCATTACATATTGCTAGTTGCATGAATCACATTGATATTGCTAAGATATTAATAGAGAATGGAGCTAAACTGGATATCAAAGATTCCGAAGGAAAGGTATCAGAATTAATGTACAGTAGTTGTAATATAACGTAGTAATTATATGCATAAATACATATATGCAATATAAGATATAGGATACGAGATATATGTATTGTGAGATAACTAATAATAGATTTTTTAATGTGAATTGGCTGGGTATGTGTAGATGACATGTATTGTACATATAAATTTGCATATAATGAATTTATTTCACGTCTAGGTTCCGTTTGAAGTGGCTACTACTAATCAGATGAGGAAGGTCTTAGTCGAGGCGAGGAAAGCTCCATCTCTCCTCTCTCCCCCTCCCTCCTCTCAGGACAGGAGCAGCTCCAATGGACAGTACTGTCTGATTTGTATGGATAATCCAATCAACACCATCATACTCCCTTGTGGGCATCAGGTATGAGTCAACAGCATCTACTACAGTAAATCTTTGTTATTACAAGCATCTTTAATTGTACGCAAGGTTTAGATGGATCTTCTACATTTATGTAAACTTGTAATCATTTACTTAATGGATTTTATTTGAGAGAAAGCTAGCCTTAATAAGCACTCTAACTACATGTAAATGATCAGAATCACCTCAAAATTTCTACAGCCCATGGAATGTTGTGTTGACTGCCAGCAATTACATATATTACATATTGCCAATAAAATGTAACTTATATAATGCATGAGATAATGATTGCGTGTGTGTGTGTGTGTGAACATGTATGGTTTAGAGTAATATTTAGTTTGTATTTTGTAGACATTTTGCAAAGAGTGTGTGACACAGATCACACAGTGTGCCTTGGATAGACAGCCCATCAGGGAGGTAGTCCCAATCTTCAGATAAGAACTGAATTAATATATAGCTGCACATTTATGAGTATTATCATAGCAGCAAAAAAATTGAAATATTATTTTTGCATTATTTTGTATGACTTTTTTTTATTTAAAAACTCTATTTTTTAACTGACATTCTATTTACAATTTTTTTGTGAAGAGACGTGTAGTAGAAAGGAGAGAGAGAGAGAGAGAAAGATTGATACAGATTATATATATATATATATATAATAGAGATTAAACAATGATAAATGGGGAAAGAGAAATATTATAGAAAGAAAAGAAAGAAGGGGGCTACGTAGCAAGTTGAATCATCAAACAAAAGGACAATGATATTCAACAACTTAACAGGTCACAATATTGGGTCACAATAATAATAATAATAATGTAATAATAATAATAATAATAATAATAATAATAATAATAAACAATGCTGTATAGTGTATAGGAGAGAGTGTGTTCTATGCCAATCAAAAAGATTCCAGTCCACAATGAAAAGGTAATGAAATGCAGTGTTACAATAGTCCAATAACACTGCAATAGTGTTACAAATGCAGTGTTAACTCTTCTACGATTATACAATAGCTGAGTCAGTAGGGTACAGAGATATAACAAACACGAATTGTATGAATCCTCTAGTTTTCTTTGTTACATGTGCTATTAAACAGCTGCTTGTTTCGGCTTTGATAACTTCAATATGATACCGGAAGATGAAGCAGTAGGGGGTTGATCTAAATGCTTCACGTGAGTAGTGGCCATCCACTGGGAGTTGGATAACGGACACTCATCCGTACCTTCTGATGCAATGGGGCTCGTTAGAAGAGGGGGCGGGGTTGAAGGGGCGTGGTTTGGTAGGGGAGAGGGCGAGGATGACATACGAGAGTAATCCAAGACAGGAACATATTGAATAACCTTTTTAATGAGAGGGGGCGGGACAGGTGCGGCTTTCGTAAGATAATCGAGGTCTTTACCTGTTGAGGGACATATTAGAGTAATCAGTGAAAGAACTTGTACTGTGTAATTAATTACTTAAAGGGATACTGTCGCCGTGTACGGATATCTGCGCACTTTTCGTAAAATTGATGACGAAATATGATTTTTGGTGACCAAAAATCATATTTCGTCAAAGAAAAATGGCAGAACTTATGCAAAGGTTCTTTGAGCGTTCATATTGGCATTCAGAAGAATGGAGAGAAAGTCCTGCTAAGTGAAGATGTCAAATAAAGGCCAGAGAAGAGCTCAGAAAGATATGGACTCCAGCAAACACAGCTACATGGTCAAACTCACCTGTCAAAAAGACACTAGCCTTTTACGGATGGCAAACTTGATGAAGAAAAATGCAGTTAAGTACTTACCTCTTAGTTTGGTGAAGATGAACAAAAAGCATCATTTGTTGAAGTATCAGAGCTCCAGAAGCAAGAATCAGAGCATAAACTGTTGTTATATTACAAGATATAAACCCGCAGCCATTTTTTGTTTATAAACCTTCCGTGTACTAAAGCCATGCAGCTCTTCCGTAAACTGCGCCAGTATCCCTTTAATTATACTTGTAAGCACACTGTTCACATTATTGTTTATACATGCACAGGTTATTCTAATCTTTACATGTATAGTGTTATAGTCTTAATTCTGAACTACGTGTATTCTCAATTGCTCCATTCTCCTCTCTTCTTACACTAGTCTTTGTGACTCTAGAACACTCTAATGCTAGACTATAATAAATTGAACAATAAGTCTGTCTATATATATCTCTCTCTTTTAAATATCTGTCTCTCTCTCCCTCTTGTGTACCACATAGCGCAAAATTTTCAAGGGCTGTAAATTTCGTGAGTTTGCCTTAAAATCTATTTTGCAGATTTAATTTTTGCAAATTTATGCCATCTGCCATCTTGTGCCAAAATAATTAAGTAATTTCCGTGAATCTTCAAAAAAATCGTGAAATTTACAGCCCTCAATAATTTTACGCTACACGGTATTTCACTTATTCAATTGGTCCTGATTAAAGATAGACTACTTAGTAAGCTGTCAAGTGTTCAAGCTATATCTACATAAACTCATCATTACCAGCTAGTGGGAACTTCCGTGGGGACCATGGGGGGACTTGAGGTACTCTCTCGACCCTCTCTACAGGAGGAGGAGGAGTGCTGGGAAAGGAAGGAGAGAGGGAGCCAGAGTCAGGGGTAGACGAGAGTTGGGACGGACGTGGTCTTTTACGATTGCCTGTGACAAAATTGAGGTAGCGGTTACGCTCTTTGGCTTCACACCTGTCGTGCCTTATAGCGAATACAGCATCAGAATCATCCTATAATGATAAATGAAATGAGTAAATACATTTATTGAGTATTGGTCTAAAATAACAGTGGTCAAGCAAGGATATTTTTATGCCTTTACAAGGATGGATACTTCATTTTTGTATTGTTATGAACAGCTTCCACAGGCATCTGTCAGTATCAAATCAATTTATAAATTTGTTCCAAAATTTAACAAAACATCCTATATTATATAGTACACATTGGCCAAACTGGTCAATCAAAAATGACTAAGAGAGAATTTCCATTTTTATAATTTTATTTGATGCATATACAAAATTTAACAAAACGCTTTATATTATAGTACACATTGGCCAAATTGGCCAATAGTACAGGGTCATTGGCCAAATTTCATCAAAAATGACTAAGGGGGAATTTTCCATTTTTATAATTTTATTTGATGCATATGCCTGTATTTGTGTTGCGCAGAAAGTTTCAGCTCATTTCAATCAAAATTGGATTTGTAATGAATTCTTAAAGTGGCTCAAAAATCAGGCCAAAGTTCCTGTACTATAGTACAGGGACTTTGGCCAAATTTCACCAAAAATGGCTACAAGAGAATTCTCCATTTTTATAATTTTTTCTGATGCATATACACATTTTTATGTTGTGTAGCAAGTTTGAGCTGATTCTGATCAAAATTGGATTTTTTACAAATTTTTAAAGTTACTCTAAAATCCAGCCAAAGACCATGTACCATAGTACAGGGTCATCAGCCAAATTTTGCCAAAAATGACTAGGAGAGAATTCTCCATTTTAATAATTTTTTCTGATACATATAAGTTATGTCGCAAGTTTGAGCTGATTCCGATCAAAATTGGATTTTTTACGAATTTTTAAAGTTACTCTAAAATCCGGCCAAAGTCCCTGTATATACATGTACTTATGCTGTGTATGAAGTTTTAACTGATTCCAATCAAAATTAGATTTTTATGAATTTTTTTCTGATGCATATACATGTACTGCAGCTATGTTGTGAAGAACTTTGAGTTGATTCTGATCAAAATTGGGTTTTCTATAACTTTTTAAAGTTAATTGCTCAAAAATATGGCCAACAAAACTGTACAATATAAATGCCGTAGGGCGCCTTTTTTTGAGGGCTGTAAATTGCACAATTTTCTTTGAAGATTCACGAAATTTACAGCCCTAAAAAAGGTGAACAACGTACGGTATATGGTACAAATAATTTAATCAAATAAAACAATTAGCAGCCACATATTTGTGATTATATAGAAGCATAGCTTACCTCCTCATCGCTCTCAATCTCATTGTCACAGTTCACGGTCTCCTTGTCACCATTTTGTTGAACACTCTCTCCACCATTCCTCACAACGCCATTCTCCTTCACTCCTTCAGCCTTCTGCTCAGTCTCCATGTGCTCTCCGTTAGGTAGAGGAGGCAGGGGATGAGCTGGATGCGATGACACTTTACGCCACTTTGGAGTTATAATCTCCTTGTACTCGAGTTTCTCAAGCCTCGTAGTAGTGGATAGGATGGAGTAAGGTATGACTATGTTATTGATGTCGTATTGGGGTGTGGTCACGCCTTTCTTTTTCTTCATTAGTGAGGTGGGCGTGACAGGATGGGAGGAGTCATCAAACGAATTGGCACTGTGTCTCTTTCGTGGTATACCTGTAATGTAAGCATAAGTACATGAATAAACAGTCATAAATCATAAAAATAAACAAATGAAGATAGTGTTTTATGAGAGAGAAACAGAGAGAGAGAGGGAGGAAGGGAGAGAGGGGAGGGAGAGAGGGAGGAAGGGAGAGAGAGAAAGAAAAAAAAAAAGAGAGAGAGAAAGAGAGAGAGAGAGAGAGAGAGAGAGAGAGAGGACATAAAGAACAGAAGGGCCCTACAACATGACCACATATACAAACTGAGTGACCACAATAAATCCTTTTATGATGATGATGATGGGAAGAATCTCATAGTATCCCCACAGACAAACATACAACAATACACACACTGACATTACCAACCAGCCCACAAACCCACTCATTCTCAGCACTAAAAATTATGTTTTCCCCAATAAAATTGTAAAGTGAACCTGAAACACAACATTTAGAATGTACAGTGTATATGCATATACTGATACACATGAATGGGTAATGTATCTAAGCAGCTACATGTAGCTGACCTTTCTCTCCAATAGAAGAGGACACATCAAGGGGAGAAGGAGAGGGAGAGAAAGACTTGCTCCTTTCTAATCCTTCAAAGAAAAATACCAATAAAATAGGCAAATATTAATAATATTAAAAATGAGCAAGCAAAGAGAGAGAGAAGGAGAGAGAGTGAAATAAATTGATTAACATACTCAGTAATGAATGATTGATGGTAGCAGCATGATCAAACAGATTAGTAACGGTACTACAGCTATTAGAAGCAGCTGTTGTAGTGGCTGCAGCTGATACTTTACGCTTCTTAGGTAGTGGAAGAGAAGCATATGAATGCTCTTGAAGGACTTGATGTAATGACGAATCCAACCAGACATTAGACGGCACATCTATAGTAATAATAATTGAATTAAATAATTAAATAAAAGTAATAATTTATTTGTATGGACAGGTGGGTTTTCATATTCAATTTAATGAAAATAAAATAAATAAAAAATACATACAAACACAACTGTATATAATGTAGTCATTGAAATACTGTACAAGGATGTACTACATCAGCCATGTTGTTACAAGAGGGAATTGCATAGCTAAAGAAGCTAAAATTACACTATATTTAAGATCAAAAGTGACCCAATCAGAAAGTGGAGTGTATAATTACTGAAATTCTAATTGCTGGCTTTAACATGTACATGCAGCAAAGCTAACTACATGTAACTATTACATAATCAAAAATATGTGTAAACTGGCACTCTCTCCTACACAGATTATCATTCTTTCCTTTTCCTTCATTCTCTCTCTCTTCCCTTTCTCTCTCTCTTTTCCTTTACCTCCTTCCTGTGAGAGATGAGGATGGTAAGACTCATCAACGGTAGAACAGCCTGACCTCTTCCCCTTTCTCCTCTCCTGTCTCTTTTCTTTCATTCTCACAAGCTTCCTCTTAGGCGCCCGGTGAGTTCCACGGGTCCTAGCTGAGACCTGATTCGCCTCATCCATGACAAGAACAGGGAACGAACACCCGACAAGATCCCCAACTTGAAGAGGATGACTCATCATTAATGACTGGTTTGAGAGCAACATCTGACGAAACTGACACGAACACGTGACACCCCCGTTCACTTTACCCCCGAGTGGCGGCTTGGAGAGAAGCGTCGAGCCGTTGCCTCGCTGGGGGGGCTGCCCCCCTGAGACCTTATGATCGCTGTGGCCATTTTGTAACCCGCAGACACAGTTGGGAAGATTGAGGGGAGAGGGAGGTGGGTTATGGGGCGTGAGTTGTACTGTCTCCTTTGGGTCCTGTGTTTGTATCCTCGAGTCCAACTGATAAAGTTTTTGATTCAGAGTCAATATCTGGTGACAGAGCCAGGCCCACCTGGCACCTAACTGGGCTCTGTCCTTCTCCCATCTTTGCTTGACGGCAAGTTTCCTGTCAATATAAGGAAGGGGATTAGTAGTAAATATGAAATACATACATGTAGTTAATACAATGATAATAGTAAGAAATATTTTAATGATACTGATGTCATAAGATGTTATTAAATAAATTAATGACATTAAAATAATAAACAATGGTAACTGGATAGTAATAATAATAATAATGTTCGTAGTAGCAATAAATAATAATTAATAATAAAATACATACACAAAGAAAGACATAACTCCCACTCTAACAAAAAACACATTCTCTTGCTGTATACCATTACACGCATACACACACACAAATCTCTAAGTGTACAGGCAATGTACATGTATGTACTTATTATTAATAGTGATTATACATACAGACAATATGTACATATACTAATCAAGTATCGAGTTTGACACGTTGATAAAATATCCCAAGAATTTATAACACAAGTACGGTACAATGCTTTCTGCTAATGGCCACAGTGTTATCAACTATTACGGTCTAGTGTACCAGAATTGTACAAAGACATAAAGTTCAAATCCAATATAGTATAATGCTACAGGTATCAATGTTAGGGGGCAAGCCCATTAGTTTATTAAAGAGCAATAAACCAGCCACTACTGTTTTGATTGAGCTACATGTACTCATAGTGGTTGAGAAGGATAACAACTGCCAATATGATGAGATAAAATAATCATCATACACCATTGATTATCAACTCAGAGCTTTCATGATGTCGACACATTATGACTTCAACTTAGTACTTGAACAGATTCAAGTTAACAAAATTACACTGATGCACGCAATACAAAGCAATACAAAACTACAAAACGGCACATTTTCTACACGATATATGAGTAATATGTGACAGAGACAACTTACAGCTGCTAATTACAAATGTACTATACATGGATGTGCATTAAAAGGCAATGAATTATGATAGGTTGATGTGGTATGAAGTAGATATAATCACGATCCAATAAAATATATATCCTTTTATAAACTAGACCCCCTGCTTAGACATAGACACTGTAGTGCCTAGTCTTCCTTCCTTTCTGACATAAATAAATATAAATATACAACCAACAGCCTCTATAATAGTCAATTACAAGATGGACAAGATTAAAAACAGAGCCAACCACTAATAACAACAAGCCATTACATGTACACACACGCATGTATGTGTACATGCATACACTACACCATTAATATGTACACAAAATATACCCTAAAGAATCCTTACGTAGAACAAGGATACACAACCTACTAGTGTCTATTGGAGCTATAACATACACTGTATAATAATTATAGTAATTGTAATCATGTGACCTATGAAACAAATTATGTGTATATGTGCATTAGTTAGTGACGTGGCAGTGTAGAGAAAAGCTAGAAGCCAATAAAAGACACTCATGAATAAATTCAGATTGCATCATCACCACCCATGTATATATATTAGTACATCTTACATAATGCATATACTGGTACACCCATATATACATACCTGTACATAGTCTATATCCATAGAGAATTAATAATCAAGGTGATCATTAAATGTTATGTATAAATATAATAACACGACCCTCAAGAATTTAAACAAAATATTCCAAAAGACTTACTGCCAAATTCATCTCAATAAACAATGTACCAGTGCAGAGAATGCATGTGTGTGTGTGTGTGTGTGTGTGTGTGTGTGTGAAATTAAAAATAAAATATAATAAGATTGTAACTAGGGGCACAGCAGCTGTTTGAGAAAGTAAATGTGGTCAGGCACAAAAAAACATTTCAAAAACAGCTTCACAACCCACTCCATCTCTTTCTCTAATGATTTCCTCCCTCCCTCTCTCTCTCTAGCAGTAAATGACATACACAATAGAGGTGGCAATATGTAAGGGAGTGGGACCCCACTTAACACATGAAGACAACAAACACGTATTATTGGTACCCTTAACTATAAAATTGAGACATTATGCTACTGGTTACTAAAAAGTGTGTTGCATAGCAATATAAGAATTAAACTAGTGCTGTGTTATTTATAAAGGATATACCTTTTAGTAAGGTCTGCTTAATACATTAACATGTATACATGCACCCTCAACTAAGTGGAGTGGAGAGAGAGAGTAATATGTACACATACATTTATAACTATACCACCACTCCTTAAAGACAGAAAGAAAGATATGTTTGTGTACATGTACCACAATTCACACAAGCTCATGCTTCAGTTAGTAAGGTAATACATTGTAATAGATATCAAAGCTGGTGTCCATTGTAAAAGATGTAAACACACTTCCAATAATAGGTACAGCTAAAATTTCAAGGGATAAGAAGAGGGAGAGAAGGACATGCATTACCATACCTTATATATCTATCATTTTTGCTCTTTGTCTTTCCATTTCTAGGCAGAGCCTCCATTTCTTCTTCCTCATCAGAACTGGTGTCAGTTGCTTCTTCATCGATGAGCGACTCTAAACAATGGAGGTGTTGCTGTAGGGCAGAAGAGACTTTACCATTCGAAGGAAGGGAAGGAGGAGGAGCCAGTAAAGATCCATTGCTACTACTATCAATGCTAGAATTGAAACTGGTATTGCTGGAACCGTCAACAGTTAGCAATAGAGGAGTAACCTCTTCTTCAACTTCGGGTCCTTTCTTATGAGAGATTAGTTCGTTAAGGGTGTGGGCGTGACTCATACGCAACTGAGAGGATCTAAGAGTCTTAAGGGAAGCTCTTACTCTATTCTCAAGACCTGACTGGGCACTAGAGAGACGAGAGGACCTAGTGTCTATGACAGAGCAGCAGTGTCTTTTGATAAAGTTCTGTACTTGACCATCTCTCCCGATTGATGAAGACAAGATCTGGTTGTTATCAAGTCCATTATTATTAGTAGTATTTGATGGTGTAGCCTCAGTCTTCATGTTCTTGGTCATCGAGCTACGATGAAGATGACTGTTGTTCAGCTTGTGTTGGCCTGCCATACCTCCTCCTCCCTCGCCGCGGGACGTTTCCCCTCCTCCCATTAGTACCCCTCCCTTGAGAGTACCCACAATTGTCCCCCCTCCTCCTGGCGGCTGGTTTAAAGTCTTTGATAAAGATGCTAGTCTGCTCAGAGTCAAAATGTCAGTGTTGGTTGATCCAATGCTGTTATTGTTATTAGCTGGTAGATTGGTGCCATTTATTGATGGCACCACGACAACTTTATCTTGATGTCTATCACTGGTGCCTGACTGTATGACTGATGAAGGAAGACCTGAAGATACTACTCCATTGACACGATGGAGAGCTTGCATGACAGTCAGAGAAGAGAGAGAGAGAGATGAGTAAACAACACCGGGGCCAGAAGATAAGGCTTAAGAGTAGCTTTAGAGGGCGGCCGCTCGGTATTTGACAGAGTAGCCTTTTAAGCTTCAGAATAAAGTCCAAGTTGAGTTAAAAGAAGTCTCCCCGATCCAGTAGCGATGGGTATAGTGTAGTTTAGGCCTCTGTCGGCGGGGGAAGAGAGGATAAACAAGTGTACCGGATTGCGCGCCAGGTGCTCCCGCGGGTTACTCGGTTACACGATGAGAATGGTGAGAGTACAGCGGTAGACTTTGAACTCTTCTTATTTGGAAGGGAAGGGAACAGAGAAGGAGTAGAGAACACAACTAGTAGGAGCTATAGGTTTGATGTAAGAAGCCGCTGTATCTCGGTTCAGCCATGTGCTCCATACACAGGTCATGAAGGAACCGAACACATAGCTGTGGGGGCCAGGGTAATGGAATTACCATATATGGTCACAGGGCTCCACCCTACACGTGACACTGAACACCCAGTTATGAATAGTTATAAAACTAGAGCTCACGTGATTGTGCTCACGTGATGCTAGTTATAAAATTAAAATCATAGTATCTTAACTTTTAAAATGATGTCATAGACCCAGCCCATTTTCTTTGCCATTCATTTCATTTCTATTTCTGCCTGAAATTGGGTGTCATTTCATATTTTCTGATTCTTCTCTGTTATGGCTGCGCAGTATTTAGTCTCTGTTCCTGCAAAGGCCACAAAGTCTGTGGATTTTACTGACAAGTTGCCACGTTTCATTGCCAACAACTATGAGGAGGAGGCTGGTACATTCCGAGACGCAATAAAGGAACTAAACGTACTGAGAGAGTCCACTGTCGTAAAGTCACCCGACAAGCACGAAACTGGGCTAGACCTCATTATTAGGTAAAGATATGAACGTTTAATATCACTGTTTATTGTTAGTGGGGGTGCTGGTTTTCAATTGGGGCTGGGAATATCATGACACATTACAATATATTTGTGTGTCATTTAGCTATTCCTTGTATTGTGTATTCCTTACACTGGGTCTTCTAGCAATTGATACACTAATATAGCAAAGGTCTGGTCCCCAGACTAACACTAATATGTTGTTAACATTATCTATACACATGCTTTTATATTATTATATAATTCATATTTCAACAGGTATCATGATCAACTGGCAGCAATTGAGAATAAGTTACCAATATCTGAGAGTCAGGTGAGAGAGAGAGAGGGGGAGACAGTGTGTGTACATATGTACTATAAAAGTACATTTGGATTGAGTAGTCACATGTTATACACAATGATTCAGTGACACTTAAGTTAGCACATGTGACCATTGTGATCTGAACTCACATGACAATCATTAATGATTATCATTATTTTTATTGTTGATAGATACACATAAAGTTTAATTGGCACGATGCCTTCTCCACTGGTTTACTCAGCTCAAAGAATGCTTGTAAGTTTGAGAGAAAGAGAAGGAAGAGAGAGAGAAAGGGTGATTGTTGTTAAATTATGTATCAGAAAGTGGTTTCACTGCTAGGTAGCATTTAATAAATATAATGTGTACTCTAACAATAATTTTAATAATACTAAATGCTAATGATGACATTATTATTTTGTAGCAATGGTGTCTGGTTTATATGAGAGATGCTGTGTTTTGTTCAATATTGGTGCTCTACAGTCTCAGATTGCAAAGTCTCAAAATTTTGATAGTGACGAGGGCCTAAAGGCTGCTGCCAAGCATTTTCAAGTAAACTGATTTTACTTTCAATTTTCCCTCCTCAATGTGTATACAATAAAGCCTATGCTAATAATAGGTTTATTTATAACGGACGCCTCCATTTAAAGGACAGCATATATTGTATCAATTACATTCCTTAATAAAATAGCGTCCACATAAATGTAAATTTTTATGTCCCAAAGTGTCCGTTATATAGAGGCTTTCGATTATTGTTTGTCTCTACTTAATTAGTACATTAATAAGTATGCCTTTGTTCCTTAGGGTGCAGCCGGCACGTATCAGCATCTAAGGGAGCAGGTGTTTGCTCACCTCCAGTCCTCACCAACTCCTGATCTATCAGCTGAATCACTGACAGCTCTGGCTACACTTATGCTGGCACAAGCTCAAGAAGTCTGTGTATTCAAAGCTTATAAAGGTGAGTATGCATGTATACATGTACATGTACACTCTAGAATCTAAATGAACATTTTACATATATAGCTTATGTTTTCAGTAATCAAATGAGTTGGTGAGTTTATGTATGCCAGACAATCTGCCAAATATTTTGTCTATTAGTGCATGCTTTGCAAATACTCTACATTGATATGTGATACACTTACATGTACAAAATGTGTGTAGATAAAATCAAGACTCACGTTATTGTTAAACTGGCAATGCAGTGTTCCGATTTATATTCTGAGGCTCTCAGTAACATGATGGTTGGTTCGGTCCGCGGCCAGTGGGAGAAAGGATGGCTGGCCATTGTCTCAGGGAAGAGCCAGTACTTTCACGGAGTTGCTCAGCATCATCTCGGACTTGTTGCTCAGAGCAATAAAAGTTTTGGTGAAGCTGTAGCTAGAATGAAGGTAGGAATGAAATTTATTATTGGGTACATGTACATGTATGCATGTATGTATAATTGTGTGTATATTTTTATATAGAAAGCTTCAGATTTGGTTCGTGAGGCCGACAGGAGAGGAGAGGTATTCTTCAAACCATACGTAAGTGCTTGCACTCCCAATTATTCCTTTTTCATTTTATTTTATATTTCAGGAGCTCACCTCATCTCTGAAGAAAGACTTGGAAGCCGTAGAAAAAGACAATAATTTCATATATAATGATCGTGTTCCTGATTTTGGGACTCTTGAGCCTCCTGGTAAAGCCTCCATTGCTAAGGCAATACAGTTTCAGTCCCCAGCCTCAAACTTCCTTGATTTATTTGCCAATCTTGTTCCTCTACCTGTCAGTCGTGCTATGTCCAATTATAACGGCAAGAAGGATGCACTTGTCAATGAGGAGCTTGAGAAACTGAGGAATGCAACATCTTCCTTGAACGAGTGAGTCTTGAACAATGTAGGGCCTTTCTTTTTTTTTCATTACTCTGTAGTTGAAAATTATTCAAAAATTTGTGATTTAAATTCCTACCAATTTAGCTCTTTTTTGCTCTTTATTTAGAAACCTTGCTAGTAAGAATCTTCCAGCTGCCATTGAAGACACTGGCGGTAATGCTGTGCCTGACTCCATTAAAGAGAAGAGTCAAGGGATTCGTGAGCAAGGAGGGATACAATCACTTGAAGATAAACTTTATTCACTACCTGAACTGCTAACAAGGAACAGAGAGATACTTGATGAGGTACGTTACATATTTATGCATGTATTACATGTACAATTGTACATACATGTACATGTACATGAACATGAATCATGTATCATGTATATTTATTTGCACTATTGCAGAGTCCTTTGGCCTGATTTATTAGCAACTTTAAAAATTCATTAAAAATTCAATTTTGATCGGAATCAACTCAAACTTTCTACACAGCATAAGTACATGTATATGTATCAGAAAAAATTATAAAAATGGAGAATTTTTTCCTAGTCATTTTTGGTAAAATTTGACTGAAATCCCTGTACTATAGTACAGGGACTTTGGCCCAATTTTGGAGCAACTTTAAAAATTCATAAAAAATCCAATTTTGATCGGAATCAACTCAAACTTTCTACACAGCATAAGTACATGTATATGTATCAGAAAAAATTATAAAAATGGAAATTTTTCTCCTTTTAATTTTTGGTGAAATTTGACCAAAATCCCTGTACTATAGTACAGGACTTCGGCCCAATTTTGGAACAACTTAAAACATTCATAAAAAATCTAATTTTGATTGGAACCAGTTTAAACTTTCTAGGCAACATATGTACATGTATATGTATCAGAAAAAATTATAAAAATGAAAAATTCTCTCCTACACGTAGTTATTTTTGGCAATTTGGCCAAAGTCCTATACAGGAGCTTCGGCTTGATTTTGAGCAACTTCAAAAATTCATAAAAACTCGAACTTTGATCACTAGTTTCACTACTCAACATAATGACTGTATAGTCTATGCACATGTGCATGTATCAGAAAAAATGGAGAAATTTCTCCTCACAATTTTTGACGAAGTACCTTGTACAGTACAAGGCATTTAGCTAAATTTTTGAACAATTAAAAATTTTTTATATTTATCAGAATCTGCTCAGAATTTCTACACATCATAAAAACATGTATTTATGTAAATCAATAATAATATGATTTCTTTTCTTTCTAGACTCAGAGGATGCTTGATGAAGAAGAGAGAGATGATACAGCACTGAAGGAGAGATTTGGCTCAAAATGGAAGAGAACTACATCAAATGAACTGACACAGAGCATTCGTAATGATGTTGTAAAATTTCAAGGAATTATCGAATCAGCAACTAAAGTAAATCAATACTGCCATAATATAATATATATCTATCAATATAGTAATATTAATAATAATTTCATTTGTTCACAGTATGTCATGCCATTGGTGTGCATTCATCTCTCCTTGTATTCATTGTACTGTATTTAGAGCTTTTATTGTGATTTATCACCAATACAGTCTATGAGCAGCACTATTCTTTATTCATTTATTCTTTTATTGTGTACTCCTTTGTGTTTGAATGTCTCCCTTTACCCTCACTCTCTCTCTCTCTCTCTCTCTCTCTCTGTAGGCTGATTCAACCGTTAGAGAGAAATTTGAGACACATCGTCCAGCTATGGTGACACTCACAAAGAGCGAGACTGACCTTGAAGCATCTCTGCCTAAAGCTGGTGCAATGGCAGCCGTCAAAGCTGGAAGCCCAGTATGAGAAAAATAACAAAATAATGATTATTAATCTTTAATAATGTTATTTCTAGTCTGTCCAAGAGCTTCGTTCATTGATGGAGGATGTGAAAACTATAAAAGCTGAGAGAGAAGTGTTGGAGCAACAGCTAAAAAGGCCAATTGCTGACATTAGTAAGAAAAAAAACCATTGATAATATACTTGTACTTGCTTCTCTTTCTCTCTCTCTCTTATTGTTTCTCTTCCTTCTCTTATAGTCCCAAAGTTTTTACAGTCACTCAAAGAATTAGGAGATGTTGATGAAGAAGCAATATCAGAAGCACATCTTCGTACAGAATATGGAAAAATACAAGAACAGGTCAGGCACTCAATACATACTATACTATTGTACATGTACACGTATATACATGTACACTTACATGTAACGTATTACTGTGTACATGTATACAGGTGGCTGAGAGTGTGGAGCGCCAAGAAGTATTAGAGCGTAAGATCAATGCGGCTTACGTCCAGTTTCAACAAGAGACAGAGCAAAGAGGAGTCAGTGAGCGAGATCAGATGCTTAAAGACCTTGCTGCTGGCTTTGATGCATACATGGAGCTCTCCAACAACCTTGCTGAAGGATCAAAGGTAGACTAATCCTAATGGAGTATTCATGACTTATTAAATTCATCCAGTTTTACAATGACTTGACTCCACTCCTGGTCAAGATACAAGGGAAAGTATCTGATTTTGTCTATGCCCGCACGACAGAGAAAGATGACTTACTAAAGTAAGTTTGACTCATGTGTACACGTATTAATGAATCCTTATTTCTTCTGTAGAGATTTACAGCGAAACATTGCATCAACTCCAAGCCAACCAGCACCACCTGTACCACAATACCAACAAGGTATCTTACCACCACTACAGAGTCCATTTCATGTGTACATGTAATAGGTAAGGAGCAACCACCTGCTAGGCCACCACCACCTGCTGTACAACAGAGCCAACCACCTCCTCCTTCTCAACCCTCTCATAATCCATCAGCTCCTCCACCTCAAGGCTCTTACTACCAACAGCCACCACCACAAGGACAGCCACCACCACAAGGACAGCCGCCACCACAAGGAGGTACATGTACATGTCCTTTTCCTTTAACATTATCCCCTTATAGGTTATGCTCCACCATATGGGTATGCCCAAGGTCCTCCTCCTCCTCATGGATATTATCAGCAGGCACCACCACCTGGTGCTTATGCTCCCCCTCCTCAAGGATACCACCCTCCACCTCCTCACGGGTATGCTCCTCAACCTTACTACGGGGCACCTCCCCCTCAAGGATATTATCAGCCACCGCCACCACATGGTAATAATTGTTTTACAGTTTATACTAATTTTATTTTGATGGCTTTAGGTTACGGACAGCAGCAACAACCTTATCAACCTCCTCCAAGACGTTGAGTGTACTGATAATTAGTATACTCACTGCTTTCGTTGTAGGACTATTATTGTATTGTGTACTACATCTAATTATTATTATTTTGATTCAAGTGTTGTTTTTGTTATTGATGACTAATAATTTTTGTTTTAGATTTAACGTTTGTTGTCTCTCATTGGGTTAATTAATAAATAAACATTGCTTTTCAAGTCTTACACAAGATAGAACTGTCTAACTTATCACACTGTATTATGAACATATCCTCATATGGCACATCGTGAATAACCCATCCCTTTCATTCAATATAATTATTCATCCAGTAACAGCCCCACCCACATCATGTTTTATAACTAATTCATTTATAAATCAATCATCAATAGTTGTTTGTGTCAGGAATTTCATTATCCACACAAATGAATTGACTCCTATTGTGTGACTCGCACACACCAATCAGCCACATAGCAGGAACACTGCAACTAAAACGACACCAAAATAATAATTGTACTTCTTTTTTTTAAATTATTCTTTAATTAATAATAACAATAAAACATTATAAATTCTTTTTATCATTATTATTATTATTACTTTTACTATACAGAACAGGTAAGGATTACCTGTCCCAAGGGAGAGAGAGGGAAAGTATTCAGTTTGAATATGTCCAATGATAGTTCAGGTAGTCGTGAGTACTAGAAAAAATAAACCTGTATACATATATACATACACAGTTAGCATTATAAAGTTGTAGTACTAATGACTGGTAGTTGTAATGTCATTGGTTGTAGTGTTATTATTCTCATGGCTCTCTGTCACCATTCCATTAGCTTTCTTAAGTTGATGCAACTGTGACAGGAGCTCCATTTTTTCTTGTTCAATGACGGAGACTTTGTCCTCTAAATTGCAGCACTGGCTGATAAGGTCCTGCTTGCTCATCCCTTCCAATCTATTCAGCTTTAGCTGGAGGTAGACCTGATTAAAGTCCGCTTCTAAAAAAGCTTCTTGGTCTTCGTCGGACAAATCGTAATGAACATCGTCACCTAAAGAAAGAGGATAAAAGAAAAAACATTTATTATTAGTGCCATCAGATGCTCCAGGGCTTGGGCTAGGAGTAATAATATTGCTGCTACTATTGGCCCATTTACCCATAGCCCCAGTCACACCTGATGATGAGTCAAAAGAGAGTGTTCTGGAAGGTCGCCTATACTGATCCTCGCACCGATCGTCAATCAAGAACTGGGTACTATTAAAAGGAGCTACTGGTCTTTTAGAGCGAGCATTAATCTCGGCTTCTCTGATGGCAACGTGCTTCTCCTCCCATTCGTCAACCTGTTTCCTCTCCTCGAGGCTCATCTTTGAATATGGCTTCCATTTTGGACGGCCTCCTGGACCACCACTTCTTTTCTTGCCCCTCCTGTGCTTCTTATTATTAGTAGAAGGCTTCAATGGCGGCCCCTCCTCTTTCTCTCTTGCCACCTGCTCTGGGCCCTGGATCCTTCCATCCTCCTCGTCGCTCATGCTACAGCTCTTCGCTCTCTCCATTAGAGTCCTCTCGGGTTCACAATAACTGCTAGAAGTACTGAGTGGGAACGGTCTCACTATTAGCATAACGCCACGGGGCAAGACTCTCTAGAATAAAGGGGACAAAGAAAGAAGCAAGAGGCTGATTGGACTTCCTTGGAAAGCGCCGACTCCTCTAAACTCTTGCTTTGTTGTCTTCCTTTCACAATACACTCGCAAAATCTACCACCACGTTTAGCTCTCGATTCCTGAGCTTGCACACACAAAAGGAGGAGACGGCGCATCTCTTTTTATAGGAGCTCGAGGATCCAATGTAAATGGGAGTGGCTTGTACGTTCGCTCTAGAAACTGATTGGTCAGTCTAAGGGGAGGAGCTCCCGTCGTTAAGGCAACGTCTCTGTCGTCATAGTAACGTCGGCTTGCCGGATAAATAAACAATATTTTTATAGTACGGACATACGAAAAAATTTCATAAACCAAACACCAACAGTACCCTCTCATTTCCTCGCTTTCTCATGAGTTCTTGCAAGTTTCCTGAGAAAAGAAGGCTCGATGTGTCGTCTGAGACCATCTCTATAGACCCTAAACTTAAAACTAAAGCAAAGGAAATAGTAAATGCGTTTATATCAACTACAAAGGAAGGTATTGTTGGCATTAATAAGGAAGGTACATTGTGTGTATAATTAGATACAGGCAGTGAATGTGATGTCATAAGAAATTCTTATTCCAGCAGTGATGTGAAATTGTCGGGGTAAGTCACCATGAGTATATGTGCTTTTAATTCTGCGATAGATACTGATGGTATGATTCTGTTTATTAGTTTTAGTGTGGGCTCAAAACACGAACTCATTAAAATTAATAATTCAATAGTTAACTAAAATCATGAGCCAAACCCCCAATACAAAACAAACAATTCTACATGCAGCTATAAGGTATTATTATTATATTTATTATTATTAAAAGTGAGCTAAACAGCATACTGGTACTTCATGCACTACATAATGATACATGGCATTTGAAGCAACTTCAAAAATCATAAATAATTAAATTTTTATCTACACAACATAAGAACTTGTATATGTATCAGAAAAATTATAAAAATGGAGAATTCTCTTCTAGCGATTTCTGACAAAATTTGGCCAGAGACCAAATTTGGGCATTGGCCCAACTTTTAAAATAAAAAAAACTAAACTTAATCAGAATTAGCTCAAAGTTGATAACACAACATAAAGACATGTATATGTATTATAAAAATATTTATCATTATTATTGTTGTTGTATTATTATTGTTTTTGTTGTTGTTTTACTTATCACAGTACATGGAGTGATAGATCTGATCAAATAAAATCAAATCTCCTCAAAGAGATCTCATCACTCAAAAGACGTCTTAAATTCAATGAGGAGCGTCTCGTAACAAAACGTGATTCGCTTTTACAATTCATACGACTAGCCCGAGCTAACTCTCTACTAGCTGCCGATCTATTGCACGAGGGAAGAGGAGGTGTGTCTGCTGGGCGTGGCCAGTTGCTAAGGAAACAAAGGATCAGATGCTGTAAAGTGATTAGTGGAAAGCAATGCAATGAGACTGCATTACTGTATACTAGATATTGCTTAGGACGTAAGTGATGAAACATAATAATGTGCATATGCCTTTGTATTCATGTACATTCCTACCTCCTCTCTCTCCCTCCCTTCCTCCCCCCCTCTCCCTCCCCCCTCTCTCTCTCTCCCTCCCTCCCTCCCCCTCTCTCTCTAGACATTACCGAAGACAAGCGTCAAGTACTATACCAGTGTTGTTCTTCAATGGATGCTGATACTTCTACCAAATGCAATAGACCAGTTCTGGAGATACTGCAAGATAAGCCTCACTGTCTGAAGCATATCTCAGAGGTAAACAGGAAAGATAGACTAGACAAATTATAATTGTGATAATTTTAATTTGATTATTATTATTATTATTATTACATGTACATGTATGAGCCTTAGAGCAATATGCATACCTCAATGGCAAATGGCAAATAGTGTCATTTAACAGTATGTATAGCATCTAATTAAAAGTGTAATAAATTGGAATCACTTCAAACTGTCCTACATATAACATAAAGTGTATCACGTACAGTATAATAAAAATTGTGAATTCTTTTGTTGCTATTTTTGGCAAGAAGCTCTGGACTTGTGTATTAGAAATCCTCAACTTGTTTGGATCATTATAAATTTAGCATTTTAATGTATTGAGCGTTTTATTGAGTACAGCTAGCGCATGTACTGTTCAATCTATTGTACATATTGTGTGATGGCACAGTTGTGTTTACAAATTGTCAGTCAATACATGAACATATGTCTCCTCTTATCATAGACAAAGAAAACAATGGTCAAGCTGCCTTTACCGTCCAACAAGACTCAAGGCCCGGGACTAAAGCACAGGGTATCCCCAGGACTACAGAAGATTAGGGTAACTCGCACTTGTAATTTAAAGTTTCTTCAAAACCTCGTTAACACCTTAGCATTCTTACACCTTGTCATGTAAACAAAGTACCAGAACACTTTAATGTAAATTAGCTCATGTGACTGTCAGCAGTCATTACTGGCATCATGTGACTTCAACTATGAACTATGTGTCTAGAGTCCATCTATGTTTATGTTATGCATGTACCTCTTGCTATCCTCCAAGTGTGTACATGTACATGTACATGCATGTGTTGTTTTGTGTGTGTTTTGTATACTGTGAATTGTGTTTGTTTATGAGTATACATCACGATAACGTTCATACATGTAGGTTCATGATACTATCAAGAGGGCATCAGCATTGGGTCTACCGTCACCACTCCAGCCACCGCCTCCTCTCTCTTCTTCTTTCCTCCCTCCTCCTCTTAGTGCAACATGGAGTCTGACTGAGAGTGAAAGGAACAACAGGACAGGTCTTTTTAACAATGATATAATTAAACCAGTTTCTTTACAATCCTAATCTGAACTGTCCATATTAGAATTGTCTTAACAAGTTCCATTTTGACAAAACTTAACAAGTTCCATCTCACAGAACTTTTATTATTATTTATTTTGTTTTGTTAGGTTTGGGTTCGCCTACTAAAGAAATAATTTCGCCATCTCCAACGCCTCAAACAAGTGAACTCTCTCCCTTTTCTCTTGATACGACTAATCTCCTGCCCCCTCCTCCCCCCGTCCTGTTGCTCCCCCCAGACCCAACCCCTGGGAGCTTTTTCGATGATGATACTTCATCGGACGAAGTCAATTGACATGAATTAATTGATTCAACAATTATTATTATTTTACTTTTTTTAATTATCAATAATATAATAAATTCATCATATCAGAAATAATAATTAATAATAACACTAATAAATAATAATAACGAGTGTGGTAAAATGCGTGTCAGTGAACAGCTGCTGATAATTGTCTAATTTGTTGTTTGTGGGACATCTTTTGTGTGCACTTGCTCTTGTATCCATCAATTTCACGTTGCAATGAAAGTGCTTTCAAAGCGAGTTTTGACTTCTTTATCTTCAGTGAGTCTATCTCTTGTTGTAAGCCGCTCAAGTGCTCCAGCTTTCTGTATCGGCAGTTCTTGGCAGCGTTCTTGTTCTTCCCTCTCTTCCTGATTGCCTTCACCTCCTCTTTGTCTCTCTCCGAGAACGTGCCACCGTCGAGAAGTTTCTTGAATTCAAAGTACGGCATATCAATGATTTCTAATTTACTGATCCCGTTGAAGGATTGTGGAATGTCTGGAGATGCTAGCGATTCCTTACCGAACTCGCTCTCGGGATAATCAGTGAAGACACTGCTAGCAGGGCTGGGGGCTATGTACGAGGGAGAGGGCGATGGAGTATGACGCCTATCACCAATTGATCGATCAGTATCGTGTCTCCCGTAATCCGAAGTGCTCCACTTGCTGCCATTGCTGGCAACCATTGGGAGAGACATTATGGCCTCTAGAGGGATGGCATCCTGTTGAGGATTGAAACTGTTTGAGGTTGTTTGTACTTGACGATGTCCTCCGTATGTGTCTACTTGAGGATTCAAGGCTAGCGTGCCATTGTTAGTTCTGTGAGGAGAAGGAGGTAGTTTTACGTGAGGGAGAGTCAATGGTACTGGATTGGGTAGGAAAGTGTTACAGAAATACTCAAGCTCATCAACGTCCCGAGTATCTCTTGTAAAATCAGGGACAGGCGAGACATCGTGAGTGGTTGATACAGGAGGAGGGTAATACAAAGGGGAAGTGAAGAGAGGAGGAGGGGGAGGGGAAAAGAGCGAAGTTGAAGGCAGAGGACTACACAGTGATGGTCTATCATTATTCATTGATGATACTACTGCATCACTGGCATCCATAGCAACACCTTGATCAAGGTCAAAAAATTCCTCAACAAAAGAGGTACCAGTAGCCATTAGCCCATCGTCCACGATACCACTGATAGTGTCGATTGGTAAGAGCCCCTGGGGAGGCTCTAGACCAGTGAGGGAGGATGAGGGTGATGAGTTTGAAGTGGCTATGGTGTTGGCTGCCAGGCTGGGATCAGAGTCTCTTTGAAGAGCGTTTATCTCTTCCTCTTCGAAACAATCTGTGGGAATGGAGAAAGGGAGACAGTGAGTCATTGCATACTTGAACATAATAAAGGAATATTTATGAATATGAAAGAATGCTGTCATAAACAATATCAAGGTACAAACAAGGGCCAATTCTCACCTTCAAATCCCTCGTCTTCTAATTCTCCAGCCACTGATGTCTCCTTTGCTTCGGGTGGTGGTAAGAGAACTGGTCCGAGACTCAAGGGAGAACTTGGTCCAAAGTTAAACTCAGACAAGTCGGGGTAATTAATGCCGGGCGTCTCTAACAAAGAGGCCAGGAGGTCTACGCCTTCTTCTTGACCGTAAGTGAGAAACTGAATGTCCTGAGAATCCATTCTATCACTTTTATATATTCCGCTTTTTCTGAAGAGTCACTCTATGATCCAACTTTGTTGAGTCATTCTCTCCCAGGGACTGGCTTATATACTATGGAGTTATATTTAGTAACAGTTACATCATCATGACCGTTCTATATATAAATGGATCCCACGACATAGGAATGACAGGAAGTCTGTAATGTGATGAATGTCCTTAGTGAACTAAAAATAGTAACAAATCATTATTATTCATGAAACATTGTGATAATGATAGTTCCATAGTTCCTATTTAGTTAGTGGCAGCCCATAAACTACAGGGCTGGCACCAATCAAATATTTCAATTTGCAGCTGTCACGAGCTTCAGATAAACTGCACAAAAGTTCATCATGAGTGGTTCTCTGCTTCCTCTTGGTAGAGAGTCCTTTCTTTACTAGTGTAGTACAAAAGCGGTCGATATCGCCATCAGTAACTGTCCAAAGATTGGCAACAAGGAACGGACTACAGAGGGAGAGATAAAATGAATTCAAACACAGTTTCATTCCATACCATCCTGCTATTAGAAAATTGTGAGCCATTCCATGAGGATCAAGATTGCCAACACTCTATATGCAATATAAATCATGACATACTTTAGTATCATTGCCGATTTGTTTGTTTACCTTAAGTTTGCCCGAGCTGCAGCCCATTTGCAAAACAGTGGCCTTGGTATGCAAATCCTGCAATTTCTGATTCTTTCCTAAATATTCTCTTCCATTTCCATGTCCACAGTATCTACAAGTGATAATAATAACAATAATAATAATAATAATAATAATAACAATAATAATGATGATGATGATGATAAATTCAATTTATACCACACAACATCTTAAGTCCACAGTTACAAACAAACATGTACATGTACATATACATGTGCTAATTGTGCTTACATGAATGTATCATGATCCTTTAATCCGCTAATGAACTCATCCGTGGAAGGACGCCTCCCGATTACGCCAGTCCAACCAACTTCCCTCTCAAACCAATCGGCAAATACTTCCTGAGTTCTCTTGAGGTCCCCACTAGGATTGATAACGTAGTACGTACTGCTTGGATTAATGCCAGACTGGCCTCTCTCAGTCTGAAGGGTGAGGCCAGCACATAGGAATTGGAGGGAGGGTATGCGTGTCACCAGCTGGTTTCTGAGTAGAGGGATGTTTTCAAAAGGAAGGGAATGAAGGGATTTAGATAATGAGAGGATGACAGGAGAGGAAGTGCTGTTACTATGTCTCACACAATCTTCAATAGCCTTTTCTATCTACATTGTACACATACATAAAAGCACACACGCATAAAATTGTTGGGTAATTAATGCCAAATATAGTAACATACGTTGTATGTACATACAGGGAGGTTTCCCACAAAGTGTACTAAGTGAGAGCTAAACAGGATGCTTCATGAGCTGACAAGCAGTAAATATGAAATTTCAAATTTTCTACACCACATGAGAACAAGTATATCATGTATCAGAAAAAATTATAAAAATGGAGAATTCTCTCCTAGTCATTTTTTGTGAAAATTGATCGATGACCCTGTACTATAGTACGGGACTTTGGTTCAATTTTCGAGCAGCTTTAAAAATTCGTAAAAAATCCAATTTTGATCGGAATTAACTCAAACTTTCTACACAACATAAGAACATGTATATGTATCAGAAAAAATTATAAAAATGGAGAATTCTCCTCTTGTGATTTTTGTTAAAATACCCTGTACTATATTACAGTCCACCGACAAGAAGTTGCATAAGCACTATAGCTATGTGGGAAACCCTGACATACAGTAAGTATCAGACACAATGTACAGGTACACATGTACAATGTAGATAGTAGAATTACATCATTCACACACCTCTCCTTTATTTCTTTTCCTCTTGTCTAAGAGTGACGACAGAACAAGATCAAATTCTCTGTAACCGAGCGTTCTCTTACCAGCGACAAGAACCTCAGCCCATGCAGTACTGGAGGAGAGACCATTAGCAGACAGCAGAGAGGAGAGAGGGGAGAGAGAGGAAGAGAGAGGCGGAGTTGGTAGTAATAATAACTTCCAATGACCCAACCATACCGATTCGAGTTTAACTACTAAATCCTAACACAAAATGACACCATAATAATAATAATAATAATAATAATAATAATAATAATAATAATAATAATAATAATAATAATAATAATAATGATAATAATAATAATAATAATAATACTAATAATTCAGTACTGTAGTAACTGTATGCTTCTAGAATATTCTGTAATATTCATGGTTGGTTACACAATAGCAATGCAAGTTTTAACTATATTCAAAAGGTGATTAATGAGGCTTGAAATTGACCTTTGACATTATATGGAAGTACAATTAGTACATCAAAGTACAGTGTAGCTTCTATATAACAGACACTTGAGGCAAATAGCTTGTCAGTTATAATAAAAGTGTCTTTCATGAAAAGGTCATTTTATAAGAAATGTAATTGATACAATAGATCATGCTGTCTATTAAATGGAGGTGTCCACTATATACATAAAGTGTTAAACTGTCTCTTAGACTGTACCTGTAACTGCTTGTCTAGTTTTATTCTCTCACCCCACCAAACTGTCCTATCAGTCAATCCACTAGTTGACACACTCTCACTCATTACAGCATTGAACTTTGACTCTAATTGATCACATGTTACTCCCTCATCACCTGGCTGCTGCTCCTGCTGGATGGAAATAAAAATCAAATTATACAAATAAACAAAGACATTCCTTAGCAGTGACAATAATAAATATTTTGAATGTGTTCCCTATTATACTGGGTGTATCCAGAAGCAAAGCATGTGACTGAAACACAGAAACACGTACAAATAATGGAAATAATACACATACAAACAGACTCTATATTAGGTATCAAATTAATAAGTGTATGTCCATACACTAGTGTGCATATGTATGGTAGCATAAGTAATTTCAGTATGGGTTCTGATATTAAGGTGATTACCCTACATTACACACAAAGGAGCTACTTTTTATAGTACATGTACTCTCATTACCTGAGTTGTGGCCCCCAGGGGGATTTTAACCACTATGGGATCTTGGTTATTTTTAATTCTAATGATGACCAGAACCCTCTTCCCTCCGGCCCTCTCTGTCAGTGTGCATAGACAGTATACCCAATCCTCTGGTAGGCTCCCTCTCATGTTCCTCGTGTAGTCCAGTGGTAGTGGGTGGGGCAATGGGTGGAGCATAGAACGAGCCTTTATTAGAGGTGAGAGTGATGGTGGGGCTGGGGCACTACTGCTGGTGGTGGTGGTTATGGTTGATACCATCTCTGATAATATCACTTTGAGGCTGTGTCCATTTTCCTTTCTAAAAGTAAAAATAACAATAAAAATAATAAACAAAAACAAATTAATATCCGTTTATACAGGATTTACAAAATATCAACTCTCTATTGACTATTATTGGGAACTTGTCCTTTCAATTGCATCAACAATTAAATGATGCACTATTAAATGGACTCTTCCAGTGAAGTTACAGTATAAAGCCCTTGATGGCATACAAAAGGCAGTTCTATTACACTACAGGCACAGGTGATCTGTGGTTACTTTGATCTTAAGGCAACACAGTTGTCCAGAGCAAAAAGCTCTTCTATCAACATTAAAGTAACCACAAATTTCCTGCAATAATAATATTGCCTGGTGCACTGGGGGGAATAATAATATTGCCTGGTGCACTGGGGGGGAATAATAATATTGCCTGGTGCATGGGGAGGGGGGGCTAGTTGTACCTGATTCTCCTTCCAAACCAGTACACTGCTTCCTGCTCGAGAGAGACAGAGGAGGAGAGTAGAAAGAAATGAGCCGATAATTCAACATGTAACACAGAGAAGACGTGACCCAGTGATTGATAGAGGTCCCTCACAAGAGGACAAGAGAGAGTCACTGGCATAAGGAGCTGATAAGCTAACAGCAAATATGACAAGACTGGTCTCAAACTCTGAGATATTGCAAACCCTAAAAGCTCCTTCTCTCCTCCTTCCTCCTCTTCATCATCATCGTCGCTGTCAGTAATCCTTCTCACTCTTCTCTTCTTTTGTGTCACTACGGGAGGTGCCTTTTCTTCAGCCCGTGAGCTAGTTCTAAAGTTATTAGAATAAATACCATCAGCCTGGATGGATGGAAATAGCTCAATCGTTGCAATGGAGATATTATAATACAATCCTGCTAAAGGGAGCCTGATGGCTGGTAGGTGCATCCAGCGAGAGAGAGAGGAAGACTGAAGAAGTCTGTTTCGTTCAAGAGCTTTAGCCTCAGTGAAACTGCCCAAGTCAAGGAGTGCTTTACTTCTTAAACGAAGTGAGTCTATTTCATGAGGTAGGATCAACTCGATGCCCACCTCTTCTCTTAAATCACTCAACAGTTTAGCAATACTGTCCAGGACTGATAAACAACTACTAGTGTCTTTATTCAGCAAATGATACTGAGAGACGATTAGTGAGAGTGTGACTATCAAAAACTGATGATGACAATCCGAAGTAATGCCTGGAGATCCAAGAGATAGGACCTCAATACCATCACAGAGTTGATTAACAATGCCACCAGACTGGGGCACACTAACAGACTCAGTTCTGGTACTACGATGCAAAGGGGTTGCAGTCTCAGAAGCCTTCACACGAGACCGGGTCGATCTTCTAGTCGCTGGAGTCCTAGTAGCTCTTGCTATCGGTTTGAAATCAATCTTTGATTTAGCTTTAGTGGCAGACTGAGGTTTACGAATGACCGACCTGGTGCTTGATGTAGCAGTATCTGGTACTGACTCCCCGACTGATTTCACATCTTTACTAGTGGAGGGTATGATGGTCTGTTTCTCAAGTCCCATTAATTCTGTAGCTGTTTGGATGTGCTCAATGGAAGCAGCTACATCAGCTGATGTTATGCTAATCTTAGCCATGTGAATGGTAAACTTGGTAGTCCTGTGTGAATAATAGGAATAAATAATAATAAGAAGAAGAAGAAGAAATTAATACGTGTAAGAGTAATATTTTAGTTATTTATTTAGGCTATAGTTGTAAAATATTGAAAGTATTTTTTTGCACATTCATACATTCATAGCTGAAGCAGATTGTATATACCTAATTCACTCACAAAAATGATAGTAAATATTAAGCACATGAATATATACATGTATATTATACAGTTAAAACTACAACAGGCCTACAGCCCCTATGGTAGATATCAAGCAAATACATGTATATGAGGTAAGACTCTATGTTTTCCTTACCAATACAACAACTGAAGTTTCTTAGCCAGTTCCAGTCCTTCTTTAGCATAAAGCAACGACTCATTGATCAACCCACGAGAGAGATACTGACCAGAGAGACTATAAGCATTGGATAAAAGAGAAGAGAATAGTCCCCAGGCCTTGGAGGGAGGGGACGCCAGTAAGTGAGACTCTGGTACCATCACATTATCTTCTCCAGTCTCTGAAAGATTAGGTTTGGTAGAGTTAGGAGAATATGACGACATTAGCAAAGACACAAGACCATGTGTGAGTTTACGAGCGTGAAAAGATAGCTCAAAATCAGTCAATTTGAATAACCCTGTTCTAATATGATCACAATCACAGTCTTTATAATCACAATGACCGTTTTTACTATGAAGTATAAATGAGAGGATCTCATTTACTTCTTTTATAGGTGGTCTGTAATTAGTAGTGGTGAGGAGTAAGGATAGTAGAGTAGCTGCTGAGGAGAGGAAGTGGTGGACAAAAGACCTGGAGTGAGTGAGGACTGGATGTGATAGAATAACTTTAAATAAACTAAGAGCATCATTTAACTATCAGAATAATATAAGTGAGTGAGAAAAGAGAGAAAGAGAATTATTATTATTATTACTATTATTATGAAAATTAAGAGTACATGTTTATAGCTACATGTACATGTACACCATTGATTATGACAATTGTATTTCTATAGATGAGGAACAACTTCAAAGTGAATAATTGGCAAATTGTTCTTGTTGTCTAGCATTTAATGACAGCTCAAAATAATCTTTGGCAAGACAAGTGCAAATTCATACGCTATGACACATGACAACATCTAAACATCCTCTACCTAAAGGCCCCCATACATTAGGCAACATGCTGCTTGCAACATTTGTGGTTACTTTGATCTTGTAAGCAACATGTTGCCAGAAATAGAACAGCCTTCTATTTCTGGCAACATGTTGCCTGGTGTATGGGGGCTTTAGGCCATGCAGAAATAAATCTTTTTTGAGTTTAAAACGTTGGCTTTGGACCATATGGTATACATGTAAGGGTCAAAAATGGGTCTTTGGACACCAATAATCATTAACAAATAACACTTCAAATATTGACACACTTATGAGATGTAAAAAATTGGAGCCAATTCTAATAAACGGCATCTAAAATAATGTGCCAATACTCAAAAAGGGAGTTTCCAATTTTTATCACATAATTGAATTATTCCCATACACATATCCATTGGCTAACCTCTCCATTTTGTATAAATATGGCGGCCAGAGCTAATTTGCACTCCAGCTGAGCAACACAGACCTCCTCCTGTTCCCTCGAATATTCCATTACTTCCGTCTTCTCCAGTTTAGATTTTAGCTCAGGACTGATAGAGTGGAGTCCATTCTCATACAGCAATAGCATTGCCTTCTTAGCTAGTGACTGATATAACGATTCATGACTAGAGGCAGTGGAGAAGCGATCCGAGAGAGTGATGATTAGGTCAAGTAGCCTGAGGGTTAGCTTGTGGAAGAGCAGCCCATTAGTGAATGAAGAGAACAACACTAAATGATGGAGGGTCGAAGAGAAATTAAGAAAGCATTTCTTGACAGATAGCTGTGAAATAAAGAGAAGGAGAGGGGAGAGAGGAAAAGAGAGAGAAAAATTAAATTGAATGATCTAGTAATAATAATAATAAAACTAACTGAATCTTTTCTTATATTATCAATGTGATTCAAAACTTTGCTCCAATGATCTATACTAACGCCCAAAACATCATAAAGATCTCGATTGGCCTTTAATGACATGATTGATTCCGACTTACTAAAACAACAAAATAAAAATGCAAATAAAAACACAAAAACATGCAGTCACAAACAGATAGGAAATGATAAAATACTAAATACACATGCACACGTGTACATATGCCCACCTCATACAACTTGAATGCATGAAAATCCCCCTCCATAAATATGCCAATCCTAACAGATCACTACTCATACACCTGCTGTCAACACTATCTTGTAATGATTTCAGTAACACTATAGCTTTACTGAGCACATCAGATGGTGACCCCTGACTATCAGTGGACTGAAGACTATGAGAAAGACTTGCTTGCTTTATAAGTAGCCAGGCATAATAATGGGATCTCTTGTTCTCTTCAAGTGCTAGGAGCTGTAGAGTGAGAGACAACTGCCAGTCTCTTGTGTCTTGCATCAATGACTGGGAGGCCTCGAGCTCTTGGGATAAATATAGGAATTTGAGTTTATTATCAGGACTGGACTCCAACCAATCAAGGGATGACCTGTAGTATGTATCATTAAGAGTATTAATAGTGTAATAAACAAGAATACTGTAAAAGTGGCATATTTTAAGGTGACTTTAATTTTACAATAGCAAAAAAAGTAAAATTAAAAACCAGTTAAATTTTTTTCAGTTATATTAATTTATACATTGTAGTAGCTCATATGTAAGCCGTAAAATAAAATACGTAAAAATTTAACAAATTAAATAATAAAGGCAGTAAAATATTCCACTTCTGTGGTATAACAGTACATGGTCATCTTGTACGGTAATCAAAAAAATGCTAGAAATTGCTTTTTTGCATTACCTTGATAAAAGAGATTCCTCATTAAAATTGGTTGAAGCCCTCAAGTGACACTTGCATGTAATAAATTGGTTCAAGCATGTCAATATTATTGTCTTATTATTGATTTTATTATCATAAATTGTCCTCAACATTTCTTCAATGGTCCTCACTGAGGAGGCAAAGTCTCCTGACTCTACAAGGCACTCGACTAGCAAGGTGTATTTCATAAATAATTTAACCTAAAACAATAATAATAATAAATAAAAATAATAATACCAGTACCACATCGTAGTGTTAATTTTTAATTATTGATAATAAGAGCAAATACGGAAATGACTATACATTACAGTTGAATATGTACAGCTTCATGTATGCACACACACATTGAGTAGGAAGGTGATTACATTTAATGACACATAAAGGAGGAAATACAGTAAATCATGACTATATAAAGATACAGAAAGTGATGTAATGAAACCAACAAAACCGAACAGAAGATTCAAATCTAATTACAGCTGCTCTCTCCTATTCAGACTATAGACATAATAAATGTTATTATAGCATAGGCTCAGTTCAAATAGGCACAATGACAAAGCTAAACCCTAAATGTATACATGTAATATGTACATGTACACAGTATAGATGCAGTACTGTATGTGTCTAATTAGATTATTTACCTGAGTCATGATGCAACGCTCACATACTTTGAATTACGCAGCATAAAATTATTTCATCAAAAATGATTAGGATTTAGGAGAAGATTCTCCATTTAGGGATTTTTCTGATACATAAACATTGTACATAACCTCATGTTGCGTAGAAATTTTAGCTGATTCAAGACTAAATTAATTTTTATTAATTTGCTCAAAAATTGGGTAAAAGACCAAGTACTTTGTCACGGCCAAATTTTGTCAAAAAAAGACTGAGAGAATTTTCCATTTTTATAATTTTTCTCCTGATGCATATACATGTTCTTATATTGCTTAGAAATTTTGAGTTGATTCAAATTCAGATTTTTTACAAATATTTAAATAGCTCTAAACTCAGGTTTATGTACATGTACATACATGGTCTTCAACTCTTTGGACAAATTTCACTGAAAATAGCTACGAGAGAACTCTCCTTTTAAAAATAATTTTTATACATGCATGTTCTTATATTGCTTAGAAATTTTTAAGTTAATTCCAATCAAAATTGGAATTTTTATATGAATTTTGTATAAAATTTTATTGATCCCATGTACCACATATTCATGTATCCATATATGCTACGTGTAATTCTAAAACATTACTTCAATTATCTTTTCCTCGAAATCTTCAGACTCTTTAGAGCAATAAAGATACTCTTCGCAGGCGACTTTCAGCAATGGAGCAGCTTCAGTGTAACATTTACTCTGATAGAGTGCCAAGCCAAAATTGAAACTGTAGGTAGCTACTTCCTCACGATCCTCAAGCAATGGAAGTTGCACAGTTTTTAAAAGATCACGCAAGCTCTCAACTAAAGGAAGACACCGAGAAATGAGTTTAGTATCATAAGATGGCTGCCTCAGACTGGCCATCAGTATATCCATCACTATACCATAAGTTATTGCCTGCTTGCTTCTTATCAGAGATACACTGAATGATTTAATCAGACCCTCCAGACATTGACAGCAAAGTTGTAGTATTATATTCAGAGAAGAAAAGGCTTCTGCAGATAACGGAGAAGTCCATTTCAAATTCTTCATCTCTAATAAACTGGATTGGATAAGTTCAGCAACAAACATGAGCTGGTTTGGTGAGAGAAGACTTAGATCAACAGTAGAGAGAAGAGAGGGAGGGAAAGAGCGAATCAGTAAGGAATTAATCTGGTGAGATTGAGATATACTAGCAGTTGCTAACTGATGGAGAGATACAAGTACTTTTACAAGTGTATGGTCATTACTCTTACAAATCTTGCTGTGCCTTTTAAGTGTTTTCTGGATCATATCAATAAACTTATTGACTTCTTTACTATTCTTCAAAGCACAACTAGGCAAACTGCCAAGAGTTAGCCAAAGGATGATGTGGAGTATTGCTTGACAGTCTAATGGAGAAGAACCTTCCAGTGAGAGGAGAAGGTCAGGATTAGTTAGTAGAGAGACATGAAAACAGGACAGGGACAATCGAGACTCGGAATTATTTTTATTGACAGCTGCACGATACTGCTTGTCAATAATGAGGGCTTTTTCTAATCCGGAAGAAACATGAGAGGGTAGCAAGAAATAACATTCAATCGAGAGACGACACACATTCAAAACTCTTTCTATTTTACTCGGGATTGATGACCATTTTGATGCTGCGTTCCACAGGACACAAGCCGTCCCTTTTATCAGTGCTTCTCTCTCATGCTGAATAAAGCCATTGGCCAACTGAGTATACAAACCATGCAGTGTTGATTGTATAATGTCCATAGCTCTATCAGCAAGAGAGGGGTCCTTGCCTGTGAGAAAATTGATTGATTTCTTTGACAAGTGGATAAGTATTGTGTTATATTTGTAGAAAAGGTTAGAAGAGGCTTTGTTTGTTGTTACCGACGTATTGAAGAAAGAGACAGAGTCTTCAGCCATTTTTAGCAGCAAGAGAGGATGAGAGGATTGAGGGAGAACCTTAACAATAGTGCCTAAGGCTTTAATGACAAAGTCTTGATATTTTAATATGTCCTTTGTATCATCTTCTGCTTTTTTCTTCTGTTTCTTGGAAGATTTTAAAGGATAAAGGTAGCCCTAAAGAGAGAAATAAAATTTAAAGTTAGTAAATGCATTCAAACCTTCATCTCAGAGGCCAGTTCTTCTGTGATTTCGTCCTTAGAGATTAAAAGAATAATATTCTCTCCCGCCATCTTTTTCTATTTTCCCGCCCTTAATGTACCACGTGACCAGCCCCACCCACTCCGTGTCTAAAATATACGGAAACCACGTGGCAAGTTAATACTCCGTATACGTATTGGTTTAGTATATACGTATACCACGAGTTAATTAACTACTAGTTATAATTCTCAGTTCCTCTCCTCTCTTTCTCGCCATTACTTATCGCCATCCCTCTCTCCTCTCTCTTCAAACAGAGGCTGGTTGTATCTGAAAAAGAGTGTGCGAGTCCTTGGAGAAGGAGGAAGTCATGGAGGCCAAGATCCTAGCCGGCGTATTGCACACGGACACGCACACTCGACTCCAGGCAGGGGAACAGTTATTGGAATATTTGAGAAATGAAGAGAACCAGTTGGCAGAGTTTGAGGATTTAGAGGAATTAATTAAGGGATTAGCCAACTGGATGTCCAGCAGCAATTTTAGAGTAAGAGATAAAGAAATGAATATTGGAAATATTTCTCTATCTTCAACACATTATGGGCAGAAATACATGTATTATACATGTGTCGTACATGCTCTTACCTTTTCACTAATTCCCTATAGTTTTATTATTATTTAATTATTATTTAAATGTACTATTATTTCTAGTACCGTCGGTCATTTTTTTGCTGTTCTATTTAATGCCCGTCACACTTTCTAATCATTTCAATTCGTATTTCTGAGAGTTGATTCTATTTATTGCCCATGCGTGATTTGTAGTTATTAGGGTTTCTATTTAATGCCCAGACTGTTGTTGGAAGTAACAATCTGGTTTGTTTATTATACAATTATTAATGTGTGCATTATGTAACATAACATTTTATAGCATTCGTTTAAGTAAAACATACATGTGTATATATTATTTACTGCATTATTAATAAGTCATCAATAACATGTACATGTATATTGCAACATTATTGCACATACATGTACATGACACATATCAATATATGACACATATTGTGTAACTATCAAAGCTTTAATTTCTATTGCTGCTTTTTGGTGTAATTTCATTAATTATGTGATCCCTCTTTTGACTTCCTTTCCTCTCCACAGATGAGTCTCCAAGCAATGGATCTGCTAATAATGATAATAATACAATTTAAAGAGAAATTCAAGCATTACATTAGCATATGTAAGTGGGTATATGTAGATGTACTATATAATACAATATGTACATATTAATGTATGGTACAATACATGTATGTACATATTATTGTGTATTAATGTGAGTAGTACAGTATAATATGTTCACATATGTTTATGTGTTATTGTGTTACAGCTGCTACTAACATAAGTCCCCATAGTGTCAAGAGATATCTTCTTATGAGTAAACAATGCCCAGATAGGCACACGAGACGACAGCATGTTCTGTGTCTCGTTTTTACTAAATTACAAATTTAAATCGCCATATGCATATTCCTATAGCAAATTATAGCAATGGAAGTATTTTGTATGGTCAGTATACATTGTAGAGTGGCCCCTACTTGTATGTAATGTATGTCATTTGGTTTGGTTTGTGGGTGCAGCTGCCAATTGAGGCCAACTTTGAAATGTTCCTGTATAGCTATTACCAGCCCAGGATTCTTTGCATAGCAATAATATAGCCCATACTATTGCCCATACTATTGCCCATACTTCTCCTTTTCTCTGATTCTTTGGCACATATACATGTAGTTGTGTAGTGTACAGTATGACACTTTCCACTTTACCATTGGAGCTGTCTATTAGCTATGTACTTATTTGTGTTGTTTTTTTCTATTTTACACGTGATACGTCATAATAAGAAAGAGAAAATGAAAGGGATATCTGTAGAGGCAGGAGCTGAACGATATGAAATATGTTCTCTTATTTTTTCATTATTATATTAGTGGTCATTTAAAAATTTTTTTAATCTCTACAGTGTTACCAGTAATAAGAGAGAAGCTTGGAGATGCTAAAGACTCTGTTAGAGAGAAAACTCAAGTACTTATACAGCAGATAATGCAGGATACTGTCACTTCACCACAAGTAAGGAGAGGAAGAGAGAGGGGGGAAGGAGTACATGTACATGTACACATGTACATGTACATGTACATGTACATAATAGGGACAGAATTGGGAGTATAGACAGTTGTTCTCTGTACATGTATGAGTAATCATGTAATTATTTATTTATTTATTATCATTTTTTGTTGTTTTAGAAACTACTGGACACTGTCTTGGAAGGTATTCTAACTCATAAAAACTGGCGAGTTAAAGAGCAAGGGCTCCTGTGTATAACTAGAACACTTAGCTTGTGAGTCAAAATAATAAAGAAATAATACATTAACATTATATGTAACAATGGATGTGAGTAACTGAGTGTTAGCTGTAAACTTATGCTGTAATTAAATATTCAATGACTATACATTTATTAGCAGTATAGTTTAAACTTAAGTACTGTATAATTTATTGTAAATAATCATAGAAAAATTAAAGCATATTGTTTTTTTTTCCTTAGTTTTGGTACTAGTCAAATTTCAGTATCTAAATACGTTGGCTCAATATGTGAATTATTGGGCGATGCTAATGCTCAGGTGAGATCTGTAGCCATTGAGTCGTTGGTGGAAATATATCGTCACGTGGGAGTGAAGGTTCGTATTGACATCACAAAGAGGACTAACATACCGGCTGCTAAACTTCAACTCATTTTACAAAAATTTGACGAGTTGGACAAAGAGAGTGGAGAAGATGGAGACGAGGTACCCATGAGTTAGTAATAATTGAGTTTATAATTATACTTGTAAATTAATTGTCCTTTTAATAGTGTGTACTGCCTACATGTACACATGTACATGTGTGTACATGTAAATTCATTTTTAAAAAGCTAAATTGATAACAACATTATGCATGTAATGCATGTATATACACTGTAGTAGGACCAAACCCCAATACATTAAGAAAGAGGGTATACTGATCTCAAGTCTTTTTCTTTTGTAATAGAGTGGTTCACTCTCCTCTTGTTCTTCAAGTGCTTCAGCTAGCAAGGGACAAGGATCTGGCCCAGTAACAAGTGGTGGAGGGAAGAGGAAGGGTTCAGCTCCTGTCAGTAATGGAGGGAGTAGCTCTGGAGCTATTGATGAAGCTCAGTTTGAGAAGTCATACACTGATGTACCACATTTGAATGTATGCCCATCTGACCTCTCACTCTTTTAATTTTATGTCCTACATAATTACATATACATTTGTACATGTATTTCTTTCTCTTGTGCCTCTAGTATACACTATATTATATAGTTACTCTATTTCTCTCTCCATCCTCTCTCTCTTTCTCTCTCTCTCCCTCTTCCTCCCTCCCTCTCCCTCCCTCCCTCCCTCCCTCCCTCCCTCTCTCAGATATTCACTCAGGCTGATATTGACAGGATAATGGACTCCATATCAAAAGTCCTAAGCAACAAAGACGCTCAGTGGGACACCAGGGTATCCTCCCTCAAAGAGCTCAGGGCTGTCATTCAATCTGAAGTTGTCGACTATCAAAACTTTGTTTCTCAACTACGAGGCCTTGAGATACCCTACCAGAGTGCCTTGAAAGACCTCAGGTCTCAGGTGGTACGAGAGGCTTGTGTGACTCTTGCCTGCCTTGCTGTTCATTTGAGGGTTGACCTGCTCCAGTTTGCTGAGCTAATGCTACCACATCTAATAGCCCTTCTACCTAATTCAGCTAAAGTGATGGCTTCATCAGCTAATGTCTGTGTGAAAGTAATAATACAGGTAATAATAATAATAATAATAAGAATAAGAATATTGATACAGTATATGTGTGTGTATTTACATTTAAGAAGAGTTATTATGTACATGTATATGCATGTGTGTGTGTATTATGTAGTGTACTGTAGGTATATTACAGGTGTGGTACCAATAGTGTATAGATATACACGCTTTTATGTTCCTTGTTAGTTTCCTTTTTGTACTCATTATAATTCCACTGCTAATACACACGCACGTACACACACTCCTACTACATTATATCAGTATAGTACATATGTATGTACATATACAATTTGTGTGTAGTAAAAACTAGTAATTAAAGGGTGAGAGGTGGAGGAGGCATATGCATATACATGTACACGTGTATATAGTATACATGTACATGTATATATGTATATAGTATACATGTACATGTACATGTAGGTACATTTCTATGTGTTTGTGTATAATTGTGTGCGCAATATACATGTATGTGTATTGTATATGTAACACTTCACATAAGTGGCTAGCACATTCACAAGTTGTACTGCTAATATTTGATTAACTATACATATAATAGAGAGAGTTAATAGGAGATAAAGCAAATTAATTATTAGTGATTGAATTACTAATGACAAAAATGTCGCACGCTCAACTAAAATTAAATTAAGATACAACTAGAATACCCCGTTCATTGTTGTTATTATTATTATTATTATTAGAATTGTCCTAATCACCGATTGATTGGTCCTGTGGTACAAGGTTTTCAAGCAAAGTCTGCGATCACGCGTAAAAGTTGTGCCGAGATCATCGAACTATTGACACGAAACTGGGACACTGGTATACTGGATAGGGCCGGTAGCACACTGGAGGAAGCCATTGTTAAAGGAGTGAAGGACGCTGATGCTACTGCAAGAAAATTAATGAGAAGGTAATTATTGATTAATAATAATAATGATTGTAACATTATTGAATTAAATATGTATACATTGTGTAAATTATGTTGTTAAAATAATGAATTAGTGTAATAATGAATTTATTTTTTACCGCTTCTCTCTCTCTCTCATACAGGGCATTCTGGGGTTACCACTCTCATTATCCATCAGCTGCTGATAGACTCTTCAATACTTTTGATAGTCAGATACAGAAGCACCTCAGAGACGAGAAGAGACAGCTGGACGGGGAACCGCCAGCACCTCCTGTCCAATTATCACAAATAAAGTTAGTTGATATCCTACAGTACACTTCTTTAATCGTTCATACTTTGATTTTATTGAGTTTAGCAAAGGACCTTTAATAATACACATACATGTAGCAGTAATTATCAAACTAAAATTTTAAAAATTGCTCAAAATTAGTTGAGCCAAATCTCCAATAACAATTAAGGGACTTAAGTTATATCTTAGCTTTAAGAGGATATGGCTTGCTATATTATGTCATTTAACTCATTTTCCATTCTCTCTCCCTATCTCCACAGGCCTAAAGTAAAGAAGTCTGATTTATTATTTCAGAACAGTTCAGAGGGAGGCGATTCCCTCCCCCCGTCCAGAGGAGGGAGTGTCCCTTCAATCAAGATCCGTACCCCTACAATCCGTGCCCCTGTCCTTAAGAACAGGCGAACAACAGAGCCGGCTCTACCTGCGACTAAGCCGCCTCTTTCCAAATCTGGTCAATCCAGCGACAACCTTTTATCGGACGCCAGTCAGTCCAGTTTAGGCGCTCCTGCTCGTCCATCGTCTCGTACTGGTAGCTCACGTAAGACGTCTGAGGATAGACCCGTGACTCCGTCCGGTCGCCATCGTCCACCACGAGCCAAGAGCCCTGGTATTGGAGGGAGTAGCAGGGACAGTTCACCTGCTAGGAAGTCATCATCATTGTCTAGGAAAGCATTACCTAAATTAACTCACGATTCACTTACACAAATTGTACGTTAGTCGAGTGGAGAGGATCCATCATAGATGGTTTACTTACATGTACATGTAGAATGCCATGTACATGTATGTACATGTACTTCGTAATTTTGAAGTGTGGAAATTTATTTGGCTAATTTTAGTGCTTTGATAGCCATTCATTAAAGTAAAACCATCCATTTTGTATCATTATGTACATATATGTAAATGCATGCTCAATAGCACATGGCAACAAATCTGCCACATTATAACCTACCAATCACTAAAATTTATAGCAATAAGCTTAAGTTAGTTCTCTCGTCCAGAATCACCACGTATAAAGTACTGGACAGTACTTGTGAAAGTAACTGTACTTGTGGTACTGGTAGTCTAGTACTACCGTACTAACGGGTTATTAAGCGTAGGCGCTTATATAGAAAATGGCAGAAAAATGGACGCTTAATAAAAACACTAGGCGTTTAGAATGGCAGATGGTGAAGAATATTCTTTTGACAGTGTGGTTTGTGGCCACCACGTTTATAAAGTGTCTGGACTCCTGCTGTTTGGACTCTTACCGTTTTGTACTGCCCTTAATAGACCCATGCTAAGAGCTACATGTACATTGAGCTAGGAACCTAATAGAAACTAGGCGCTTAACAACAAAGGGCGTTTAATAACCCGTTAGTACTATGTAATGAGTATTTTATTCTCTTCTCTTGGTACTATGTATAAAGTAGTGGTACTAATAATCTTGTGTTTCTCCTTCAGGTTGGTTTTGCCCCTAGCAGTGGTATGATCGATGATGATGATGATACTGCTAGCATCACGTCCGATCGATCGGCTTTCTCGGTTTCCTCTGAGATGTCAGTCACGCCTTACGCAACATCAAAATATCCTAATCCAATAACTGTAAGTCACTTGTACATTGTACATTAATATTTGTAATAATGTGTGTATAGACATTACATGCACATCTGTGTGTGTGTTCATTTACTTATCAATTTCTCATAGGATTTAGACGAGTTAATTAAGTTATGTACATCAAAGACCTGGTCTGAGAGAAAGGATGGGATTGCACAGCTTCACCTCCTACTGGAGAGTGATCACGAATTAACGTAATGTAGTTCACTTTCTTTGCTCTCAATAACTCTTTCTCTTTATCCTTCTCTCTCTCTCTCTCTCCTTCTCTCTCATGTGTATTTTATTTTATTTTTGATATTCTGTCACTTGCAGTGCATCTGATATTTCGAAAGTCAAAGATGTCTTTAAAAGATTCTTTGCTGAAACTAATTCTCAAGTTAGTGAATGCAATGTTATTATTATCATTATCTATTGTTATTATTATTAGGTCTATGGTATGTTCCTTGAGACACTGACTAGATTCATACAGAGTCACAGGATCCACTTGAATGACTGGATCTACATACTGTTACTGAAACTATTGCAGAAGCAAGGGAATGACATGCTCAAATCAGTTCAGTATAAAGTACAACTTGTACTGGAACATGTTAGGTTAGTTAAGAAGGAGGATCTGTATGAGAATTTACAGGAAATATTTATGAAGTACCTACTATGTACAGTTAGGAATTTTGTATGGTTTAACTGAAGCTTACAAAAAATATGCTAAAATCAAGAAATTTTTTAGTGATTCACAAAAATTTGACACTCAGCCTGCAGATACATGTACATTAATTGTCATACATGTAATAATGGATATTAGTATCATTTTAAAAATTTATTTTTGTAGGAAAGCATTTGATCCATCATCCCAGTTCAGTGTATTGTGTCGTATACTAACTGATCCAGCACAACCAATGACTGTGAAAGTGAAGCAAGCCTGGCTGGAATATGTACATGAGCTTGTACCAATGATTGACTCTGAAGACTTCAAAGAGACTTCTGGTTAAGAAGAGAGGGAGAGAGAGGAGGAGGAGGGAGAGAGAGTGAGGAGAGGGAGGGAGGAGAAGGGGAGAGAGGGAGGGAGGGAGGGAGAGGAGGAGGGAGAGAGATGGAGAGGAGAGGAAGACAGAGAAAGAGGAGAAAGTGTTGATTATCTGTTGTTTTAGTGTTCACAAAATTAAACTTAATTTTCTATTTAATGCACAGAGACCAGACAGGCATTCACTAAACTCTTAGCGTTGACGCTGGAGCCTAAAAGCCTTGAAGTACGTAAAGCAAGTCAACGTGTCGTTACTGGTCTATTTGATCTGAATGCATCAGTATTCTCATTGTTACTCAGAGGAGTGCCACATAATCTCAAGGTATGTGAACATGAAACTGTACTATAATACAGCTGAGATATTTTGTCGAATGGCTATGAGAGAATTCTCCATTTTGCTCGAAAATTGGGTACAGGGTTTTTGGGTGAAAAATTGCTAGGAGCGAATTCTTCATTTTTATAATTTTTCCCTGATACATATGCATGTATTTATGTTGGATAAAAAGTTTGAACTGGTTCCGATCAAAATTGGATTTTTTATGAATTATTAAAGTTGCTTAAAAATCGGGCCAAAGTCATTGTACTATAGTACAGTGACTTTGGCCAAATTTCAGCAAAAATGAAGATTAGGGAATTATCCATTTTTATAATTTTTCTGATACGTATGCATGTATTTATGTTGGGTAAAAATTTTGAACTGGTTCTGATTGAAATTGGATTTTTTACGAATTATTAAAGTTGCTTAAAAATCGGGCCAAAGTCCCTGTACTATAGCACAGTGACTTTGGCCAAATTTCGCCAAAAATGAAGATTAGAGAATTATCCATTTTTATAATTTTTCTGATACGTATGCATGTACTTATGTTGTGTAGAAAGCTTGAGCTGATTCTGATCAAAATTGAAATTTTTATGAATTTTTTAAGCTGCTCAAAAATTGGGGCCAAAGTCCCTGTACTATAGTACAGGGTATTTTTTTCAAAAATGGCTAGGAGAGAATTCTCCATTCTCATTACATTTTTGATATGTATACATGTACATGTACATGTGTTCTTATTATGGACATTATTAATTTTTTAATGAATGCATTACAGGAGAATGCTGAGCGTATAGTGAAAGGATACATTCAAGATGGGAACAGCAGTGATGATGATGAGATTGTTCCACCTTCGCCCACGTCTCGTGCAGTTCCCAAATCGAAATCCCACACCATGGGATCCCACTCTGGTACTTCTTCAATGAGCAGTGGACCTCCCCAGCGACAGGTTCAACCTTTATCTCCATCTTATCGCCAAATGTCTTCATCGTCTCCTAACATTGTCTCGAACAGACACGAGGCGCCGCCCGATCACACCACACCCAAATCCGGCACTCCCCAGACCCAGCGTAGTAGTAGAGTACCAGTCCCGACTGGCCGGGGCACCCCCTCTGGGTTAACGCCTACTAAGATACCACGCCCATCCTCTCGTCAAGGAGGGCCAGGGTCTGCCTTGCCTCCTAGGGCCCGTAGTGTCGACCCGGAGAGAATGATGGCCACTACTCAACTTCAGGATTTTAATCATAGCTTGATGGTAGGAGGAGGAGGAGGAGGAGGTGGTGGTGGTCATAGTAAACCACGTGACCGGTACCAGCGTCCAATGTCCTCTCAGTCGGAATACATTACGGCTTCTCTTGCTGGAGGTGGGAGGGGCTATGCTAACGGTGTGAGGAATCCACTGTTGCCACGCCCACCTTCGTCTCAAGGTTTCATGTTGGATCATTTTATATCCACTCTACCAATGCTTGACTTTGGATCACCAGATCCTGATGGTTAGTGCTTTTTAATACTGATTCTGATACTGATTCTAACACTGATTCTAATACTGATTCTAACACTGATTCTAATACTGATTCTTTTAGTGCTATTACTTGTATGTATAATTATTTGTCTTTTTAGGTGAGCCACGAGATCAAATTGCCCTCCTATTGAAGCAAATTAAAGATACCAACAAGTAATGACTAACAAATCTTGAATTCCTTTTAAGTATTTTTGTGAAGTATTTTCGTAGTCTGTTAACTTTGCTAAAATTTTTAATCATCACTTTCTCTTTTTTTATTAGTTCTAAAGTGCGTACGACTGCGATCCAGTCCATCTTTTCACTAGCAAAGTCATTTGATTACAACAACTGGAAGGATCACATCTCAGATGCAATGACCACTCTGGTTTCATGCACTAATGTAAGACACAAGAATAACTTTAAAAATTAAAACTAACAAACATCCAACAGTGCATTATAATTGATACTCGTGTATTTTATTTATTTAAATATTTTTTGTTCCTACAGGATTCTGATGGTCTAGTCCGTACAATGTCGCTACGTGTCATTCGTGAACTAGTAAAAGCTCGTCCGCCCGGACTAACCCAGTTCACGGAGCAGCTCACGAACCAGTCACTCAGCTCGTATCAGGAAACCGACTGTAATGTGAGTCAGGCAGCAGAGGACCTCTTCAGTCCATTGGCAGCTGCACTACCGCCTCCTCGTGTGCTGGATATACTCATACCACTCGTCTCTAAAGGAGCTGATGCTAGCTCTCTGGGAGCACTCAAACTTATATCAAAGGTAGAGAAACTGATATTGTATGGAGACCTATACAGACTTGTAATAGATTGAGAGCACATGAGCACATTACATGTACATCTGTATGTGTACATGTAGTTCAAGTATTAAAATATTGCTCAATCATGGGAGTTAGGCTATTGTAATATAATAATTATTATTAATAGGTTGTGAGTCATTCTGATGAGAGCTGTATATCAGAAAGACTGAACGACATGGTTCCTGGTATTGTACAGGTCAGTTTAGGAAATTCGTCAAGTATTGATGCATGATGTAATTGATTCATGATGTCTTGATTAATGATGTACTTGATTCATGATGTCTTGATTCATGATGTACTTGATTCATGATGTACTTGATTCATGATGTACTTGATTCATGATGTGCTTGATTCATGTGTATCCTATCACAGGGTTATCGTCATGAGGAAAGCAGCATACGCAAGGCAAGCGTATTCTGTTTAGTTGAAATACATGGAATAGTTGGTGAAGATCTAAGACCATTTCTGTCGGTTCTCACCTCATCACAGGTAAAGATAAAATATAATAATAATAATAATAATGATAATAATAATAACAATAATGATAATTACATGAAAATAATGGTAATAGTAGTATTATAATTGAATTGGCTTTAATTTCTAATAGCAATTTGTAGGCTTGCATTTATGATTTCCTTGGCTGCATTTATTTCATTTTACTCCCCAATTGCATTAATGCTCTTCCCTCCTTTTGCATTTAGACCAAACTACTTGATTTGTACATCAAAAGGCATCATAGTTCTTCAAAGAGAGACTCTCATCCTACTTCCTCAGAGCAATGAAACAATCTTTCATTCTTTAATTTCCCTTCCTTTTTCTTAAAGCACACACACCATCTCCTCTATTGATCAGTATAATTTTAATATCATGCATGCATTAGCTTCCCTTCTCTTTTCTTCTTTCATTGATAATTCAATGTAATGCATTGTTGCTATTATTATTATTATTATTATTATTATTATTATTATTATTATTATTATTATTATTTGTTCTGGAGATAAATGTTATAGACTGTAGTCTTTTTCTTATTTTTTGTGCTTTAGACCCTCACACTTTATTTGTCACAAGTACTATTATTATTATTATTATCATTATTATTACAACGAACATGTCTTGTAAAATAATAATTAGTAAAAAAATATGAATATCCTTGTAATTGATTTGCTGGGAAAAGCCACTCCTTCAAGCAAGCTGCTAGCTATGGCTGTCAGCTTTTTCTCTGCCATAGCGCAATCCTTCGCTGTCATACTATTGGGATATCTCTTTGGTCGTTTTAAACTCATAGATCCGAGAGAGGCCCGTAGCATTACCACTTTAGTTGGTAAGCTCGCACTACCTGCTCTCTTGTTTAGGAACTTGGCTATACTCGATCTCAGCCAGGTCTCTTGGGCTTTCCTCGGAAGCATACTAACAGCAAAGTTTATTGTATTTGTCCTCGTCGTGGGCCTCTCTCTTGCTATAACGAGGAAGATTGGTAGGTCTGGATTGTATGGGATTTTTGCAACTCAATCAAATGACTTTGCCCTTGGATTACCAATAGGTGAGCATTATGTGTTATTATGTAAGACCATGGTAAGACTAAACACACATGCTCCCTTCCCTTCTCCTCTCTCTTCCTCTTAGTTGAAGCTCTTTACAGCAAGGATGACCCAGGTGGCTTTAATTTCTCAAGCTACCTCTATCTCTTTGCTCCCATTTCCCTCGCCATCATAAACCCGATAGGATTCTTCATGTTGGAATACTCGAAGCAATCAACACGGTCTAGACTAACGTGCAAACGAATACCAGTCATTGTGGGAAAAACTTTTTTCTATTTGCTCATAAATCCAATCATGTTCATGACTCTCCTTGGCCTCGTTGTAAATGTCATTATCTCGTATTGGTCCCACACTTCATTCCCGGGCTGGCTTGATAGCTTCCTAACTCTTGTTGGAGGTGCATATGCTCCCTGTGCTCTCTTTAACATTGGACTCTTCATGGTTGGCAAGCTAGGCAAGGTCACTGGCTATACCATATTTGTATCAACACTGCTTATCATTGCTAAAAGGTTAGTAGAAAATCTCTTCTTGGTATTATCAATTTGGCTCATTTGGAATACTGATTTGCCAATATTATATTTGTTTTTGTTATTGGAAAAAAGTGAAAATGAATCTTATAACTTATCAGTGTACATAGTCTCGCCACGCCCCTTCGCTACCTGCGGCGAAGGGGCGTGGCGAGACTACAGTGTACATATTTCATCTCTTACAGTATCATTTTGCCTTTGATTGGCTACGTGACAGTGGATCTGTTTCTAAGAGCTGAAGTTGATGACAACAGTACACTGAACAGCATAGCCTCCTTTGGATTCCTCTACTGCACATTCCCAACTGCTCCCACAGTCTTCATATATGCTTCTCAATACAGCACTGTTGTCCCTATTGTAATCCAGTCTATATTGAATCCATTTTATAATTCTTTTACACATAGATTGCATCTTCAATTGTATTTGGTACATTAGTATCAGCTCCACTGATGTATGTAACAGCCAGGATGGTGACAGTGAGGTGGGCTGAAGAGAGCAGCTATGAGCATACATTATATGTCACTAGACTCAATGCATCATCTATTGCTATACTCTGCCTTGTGAGTCCTATAGCTCTTATATCATTTAATGTATAATATCCTATTCTCTTAGTATTATTTATTATGTCTTCCTATTCTATTATATCATTTATTGTATCTTCCTATTCTCTTATATTATTTAATGTATCTTCCTATTGTAGATTTGGGTTTTTATATTATTCATTTTATCAAAGAGATACAAGTCCTACACTCATACAATAGTCATGCATCTAATGTTTGCTCAGGTGAATAGCATGCCTGTACTATTCTTCCTCCATTCACTCTAAGCTATTCACAGTTATTGGAGTGCATGGGCAGTATAGCACTAGATCAGTTAGCTACTAAAGGAGTCTACTGGGACTATGTCCTATTTGCCATATTTTTCATTGGAGTGTTCTCCTCAAGGCTCTGGCTCATATGTCTCTGCATTGGATTGATTGTATTGATAAAGAAAGGTCTCTCAATTGCTAAGAAAATATGGTGGCCTATGTTCATCACTGCCTGGGGGTAAGGGCCATTACCAATGCTATTATAGTATTATTACTTAATTATTGCAGAGTGCCTGTTTTTGCTACAGTACTGCTAGAGGCATGTTCAAAGCCTCAGAATAAAATGAGCACAAGCTTCATGTTTGGATTGCCACAGGTAAAATAATAAATTATTTATAGAATCTTAAATAAATATACTTTTGTTTTTACAGCTTGTCATTTCAGTAGCATTTCTGTTAAGTGCGTTCATTGCTGGCCTAGTTCTAGTGATCATAATCATTATCAATGTGAACAAGAATCAAGAGCAATGGAATACGGACACACAAGACGCCAATGAGAGGACATACCTCTTATCTTCAGGGAGGAATGGCACTAATAATAATCATAGTGTATCTGTATCTACTAATAACAATGAAGGAGAGAGAGAGAGTGAAATTCTTATTTCAACTAAAAGCAGTTCGCCTGCAGATTCCGAAGTATCATCTCGTTTCTATTCCTACACTTTTGAGAACACTGGTACACAGGAGCGAGATGAGTCCGGTAAATCTCTCACTCCTTTTCTTGTGCTGGCTATATTTCTCATCTTCTCCTGCCTCGTGGTAAGTTTGGTCTGATTACATGCTGTATGCTGTTGGGTAATTCTTGTGATGCTAAGTTTTTGAGGCATGGTAATTTTTAAAGTCATACTTTCTGGGACTCCAAGAACACCTCCCAATTTTATCACATAATCTGTTAGATGTTTATGCTCTTAGCAATGTCCATCATCAATGCTTTCCCAGTTATAACTATAAAAATATTCATGAAAAGGCCAATTATTTATTATGTATGTGTTCATAGGGTATTCTGGTTGTTTTCTGGCAGTTGGTTGATAGTTCTATCTCTGGTGTCTTTGTTGCTGCAGTTGTTTTGGATAATGTAACTAATTTCGGTCAGGTATGGAGAATATTATTTTTTAGTGCATGTAGTGAATGCTAAAGTCTAAAGGCATTGAATTAAATCTCATGAAATAAATTTTACAAGTTCTTTTTGTCACCTTGTTAACACCTTGAAGTGTGAACAGGAACAGGATGTTGCAATATAATAATTTTTTTGAGAATTTATTTTTAGCTTCCAGAGAGTCAACGGTTCGATTCTCCCTTTGTAACAAAATTTTTTTCTTTTTTTGTAGGGATTTTTTGTATTTATTGTTTTTGGTTTTGAGAAGCACTGGTTCTGGCTAAAAGCATACAGCAGGTAAGTATTATATAAAAGCAAATAAAGTGAATATTAATTTTATTATAAATATTCTTCCCATTATTCAGGCTAAGAGGGTGTTTTTTTAAAGTTGAAGTCGTAGAACTGCCTGAGGAAAATGAGCTAACCGTTGCGCAAATGACTTTGTGTAACATTTTTAAGAACAACTATCTTCAAAAGTGCAAGGATGACATTGTGTCTGACAAAAGGTAAAAACAAAAAAACAAAATTATAACTATTGAAGTTTAAAAAATACTATTTTTCAAGTTGATGCCAATGACCCTGCTGTACTATGGCCAAATTATTCAAAAATGGCTTGATATTTTTATGCTGAGTAAAAGATTCCGATCAAAATTAGATTTTTTATGAATTAGCTGCAACTGGAGTTCTGGGTTGTAGAACTTGATTACTCTTGTAGAACTTGATTACTGTTGTACACAGTATTGGGAATTTAGAGTTTGAGGCCAAAGATCCTGTACTATAACAGTGTCTTCAGTGTCAAAAATAAAATTTAGAGAATTCTTAATTTTTAAATTTTTTGATACATATACTTACACTTATGTTGCATAGAAAGTTTGAGAATTTCTCGTACTGTACAGGGACTTTGGCCAAATTTTGAAAAATGAAAATTTGAGAATTCTTTATTTTTATAATTTTTTTCTGATGCATATATAGTGAGTTGAATGATCAATCTTAGCTTCTCAAGTCCAAGTATCAGGAACAAAAATTCACACAAGATCACTTAGTTAATTGTTAATAATTATAAATCAATCATACATCATACTGACTTCATTAGCATAATACATCTCACGAATCAATGATAACGATGTACACTAACATTTTGATCACTATTAATAATAATAATTATAATAAATGTACAGCAACATTACACATATACATGTATTTATGTTGTGTAGAAAGTTTGTTAGATTTTTACAAATTTTTAACGTTGCTCAAATTGGGCCAAAGACCTTGTACTATAATATAGGGTATTTTGTCAAAAACGGCTAGAAGAAAATTTTATTTTTATCACAGCTCTGCAGTTTCTATCTAGCTTACTATTTTTAATTCAATTTTAGCAATACTTAAAATATTTTTAATAAATAGGTATATATTTCAGTCCTATGATTCAGTATTTACTGGGATTGATATGGTTGACTGGTTGCTTAATGAGAGGATTGTTAATAATGTAGAAGAAGCTGTCGATTATGGACAGACACTGCTTGAGGGACGCATATTGAGTCACGTATCAGGAGAACACAACTTTCACAATGATAACTATTATTATAAATTTGTAGAATAAAAATTTAGATAAATATAATACTCATAGTGTTGAACTATGCTCTTACACACATGATACGTATATACTTATGACTCTTTAAATATATACTGTCATTTTGATGATTGTTAATCGTCAGCCATATCTTGCCGATTTTTCCCGATTTCTTTGATTTTTCTGATGACTCTTTTGGCAGCTCCATTCTTTGCAGTTTTATAACTCTCAGCAATGCAAGAGACCTGAATATCCTTATCAATCACCTTTATTGTGCAACGATGCTTTGATCTCCGAGTTGAACTATGATCAAATCACATATGACAATCACTTGCATGAGAGCTATAGGCTTACCTCTGCATTATTTCAACTGATGGCTCAGTTCTCATTAGTTCTTGTATAGGATGAACTGGTGGGCCCTTCTCTTTAAAACTCTCTATAAAATAAGATAAAATAAAATTAGCAATATTGCTTTGATTTTGTCCTTACCAATAAGTGGCCTGAAGAAAGGATAGAAGTATGACCATACAGTCTCCAGGCTCATTCCACTGTCTAGAAACAGAGCACCAGCCAAAGACTCAAGGACATCCCCTAATACTTTGGGAGGCTCTAACTCTGTTATATCAGCCTCTTCCTCTTCTTCAAGCATAGCAATGTCACCATTCATTTCTTCATGGACATTCTACATAAAACACAATTAACAGTAATAGTAACCAAAGCAGTGTCATTTTGTAAAATTTGTATCCAAGCATTGAATACTAAGACTATGAAATTAAGTGTTTCAAGTAAATATACTGTATGTACCTCAGATTGATCACCAAAGCGACAATAAATTAATTCTTTTTCACTGCCACTCTCCCTCTCATCCTCTTGAAGGAACTCCACATACTCTGTGATCTTTCGAAAAAGCGAGGGAGACAAATAAAGAAGATAGGTATGAAGGGAGAGCTTCTTGACAGCAATCTCAGCAAAAGTGACATTATTGACCAGTGCAGATCTGGTCTCAGTAATCTGACCAGGAGTGTATGATGGGAACTCAGTATAGAGGCAACAAGTAATGAGATAATCCAATACAGCATCTCCCAGAAACTCTAATCTTTGATATGAGCGAGTGACTCTATTTTTATTGCTGTACGATGGGTGGGTGAGGGCTTGCAACAGGAGAGCACGGTCACTGAAATCCCAGCTTAGTTTATCATACAGTGAACTCCTGCCTCCTCCAGGGACTGCTGAAGAGAGCAACTTGTCTATTGTGGTATCTGGTGCGCTGCTATCAAGCAGTGAGGGTGGTGGAGGGAGGCAGCAAGAAGAGAAAACGTGAGTAGAATTTTGTAATAAAATTGGATTAATGCAAGGAGATGCTTCTTCAATGCTCATCAAGCTGCTCTGTGATTGCTTTCTGCTTACATTACAAGAGCTCATTGTCACATCTTGAGAGAAGGAAGATGATTCTGTTGGCTTTTGAAGTCCCAGCCAGTCAAGGAAACTAAATCCTGCTCCCAGTCCCCCGGCAATGAGGTACGCACCCAGCAACGCCTCAGTTGAGTCTGCAATTCCCTTATCAGTGACTTTATGGTAATAGTATTTTTGTATAACAGCTGGTAGAGTATTAGGAGGAACATGATCAGGTAAAGCAGAGTCCAGACTGAAACGAGAAAAAAAAGCATAAAATATTATTGTAAATAAGCTAATGTACAGTAAAATAAATGCATGGATAGATTATAAATGCAAATAAAGCTTTACGCCAATCTCTTATAAAAAAAACTATTGAATTTTTAAAGCTGCTAAAATTAAGAAGTTTTTATTTAATTTACCTTAAGCTAAAGCCAGGCGGTATCCACCCACTAAGAGGCTCAAACTGCTCGGTCTGTAACAGGCCAGGTAGGCCCTTCTTCTTTGCAAGAAATGAAAGATTAAAATTAGAGATCCTGTTAATACGAGAGCGAGTGAGCTTCCCCTCGTGGTCTTTACCACGGCCACAAAAGAGACTCACAGAGACAGCGAGTTTGAGGAATGAGTCTCCGAGTGTTTCCAATCTCTCGAGATCAAAGGAATCTTTAGCAGAAGTACCAGTTAGTGACTGAAGGAGTAGAGAATTAGAAGGACCTCTTATTACGCCCTCAGCATTGACTTGTGAATGCAGCTGGTTTGATGTATCAGCATCAACAATGTAACCACCATCTCTCCAATGAAATACAGACTCACTGTTGTGTTCCATTTCATTTGGCTCTCCTTCCCTCATAATATCAGGATGACATCGATATTCGTAAACTTCTGTCACTCCTATTCCAGTAAAACTCGATATGGACTGGGCAAGCTCCTCTGCCAATAAAAACCCAACCAGCCTGTGAATGATTGACGGCACACAGCGACACAATTTCCAGAAAGAGGCCGGGATAGGCCACACTTTGCATAGCTCTGGAAATAATCGAATCTCACTTGACCTTTGAGAGGATTCATCATCAGGAGCAGAGGCAGAGGATCTGTTGGTATCTTTAAAACGCGATACCAATAACCTTACACCATTCACTCCCATGCTGACTGGTTTGCAAGTCAGAGATGGATCACATATATACACAATAGAGTAGCCGTATTTATTTAAAAAATACTCAAAATAGGATTTGGTTGATTCTCCTGGAAAAAGAGATAAAGGAGTTTCCTCTGGATTGTAAGACAGGACCTCATAAAGCTGGAACTGATCATGAGACGTTTCTTCAACATAAGATTTAAAGACAAGTTTATCTGGCCAGTCAAAAGGCCAAGTAGGAGAAGCAAGATCCTCCGCTTTCCTTCCCCTCTCAGCTGCTATTATCATATTTTTTGCTGTTTCTATATCCACAAAGCATTGTAGTGGACAACCAAGCTGATAGACAGTGACCGGGACTATGAGATAAGAACTGTCTGAAGTTTCAAAAGAGAGCTTAAGGTCTTCTCCTTTAATTGATATAATATCCGTGAAAATTATCTCGTGGAATTTCTTTAGTACCTCCAGTTCTTGTATTGTAGCATCGAATAAATGTTCTTCAAAGGAGACATTTATTGTTGAATGGCCAGCGAAGAGAGGAAATTGAGGAATCTAATAATATAAATAACTATAAAGATGATATAAATATAACCTTCACACACGATTGTGCACATGTATAGTCTATGGTCTTTCACAAAAATATTTACAAAGTAATTAAATTAATTCTTAATTTTTTATTACACAACTGATACACACATCATGCTGTTATGCTATATAGAAAGTTTGAGTTACTAGAATTTCAAATTAATATGAAAACTGATTGAAAACTTTATCAACAATGCTACTATAAATGGAATTTGTATTGCATACAAGGTGCTACAATCCATTTCTTGTTTAGCACATGTTAATCTTACTTTAGTAACTGGGATCCGTTTACTAGTGAGAATACCAAGTGTAGTCAATGAAGTTCCTTCCCCCAGTATAAACACATACAGGAAATTCTTACCAATATAAGGGAAACTCTCTTTAAGACAACTTGGAACCTAATAGTACACATATCACCAAAAGTAGGTAATCATCAAGTAATGTATACTAATTTAATAAATTATAATTGCAATCATAAAAGATGTGCAATGAAGTACATCAATGATTTGTATTTACCTCATTCTTGTAATATGTCACTTTTCTGTTAGTTCCTGCATTTTTTATTTTCTTTGCTTCTTTTTTCTCTTTGTTCTCATCATCAGAATCATCATCATCGCGAGACAAAGGCTTCAAATGCTCGTCAAGCTCTCCGGCTTTGTGAAGGTCCTGTATTGCAATGAATGCTGCTGACTGTCTGGCAAGATTAACACGAGGCACTGCTATACCCTACAGCAATAGAGTTATAACATCTTCATAAAATAAAATAAAATATTGGGGTTGACTGTGTGATATTTTGAATAAAGAGATTAAAAGCATAATAATTCTCTCTCTCTCTCTCTCTCTCTCTCTCTCTCTCTCTCTCTCTCTCTCTCTCTCTCTCTCTCTCTCTCTCTCTCTCTCTCTCTCTCTCTCTCTCTCTCTCTCTCTCTCTCTCTCTCTCTCTCTCTCTCTCT